TTATTTGTACTTCTGCATGGATGTCATTTTTTTTTTTATATCTTGCGCTCACTTAGATTGTCTAGATAATAGTTGAAACACTTGTCCTTCAGTTCCAGCAATTAAGTAGTTCTAAAATAAGGATGGACTTGGGGAAAGGTGTTTTCATGATAACCCTGCACCAGATTTTGTGGAATCTAGTGTTGACTTCAAAACGGAAAGAGTCCATTTATTCTCAGATGAAGTGAATCTTTTCCTTTTGATTATACTGCTTCCTGTTGAAATGCAGCAGTGTAGTTTTTTTTTTGTTTTGTTTTGCTGTCTGGTAGTTTTCTTTCCACCAGTGTTGATCCTTGATGTGAGCTGTCAGAATCATATGGACGGACACCTTCATAGATTTACTAATGTTGATGTAGGCAAAGACTATAACACGTGTGGAAATAAGAACGTCTGTGTTTGTACATGACCTCTATCCCTATGGAGATTACCACACACATACACACGCAGACAAATGAACACATATTCCCGGAAAAGTACCGCAAGTGTGAAAACATGGCCTTTTAGTGTATGTAACCTTCTAGCTGTTGGCGTTAATGTCACACACACATGGTTTGTAATGTATGCAGCACATGGCAGACGTGGATGAAACAATCTTTCGTCACCTTTGCGACGATGTAATACGACTTCTCTGCTTCTGTCAATGTAAAATATGAGGAAAGAGCAAGCCGTGTCTGCCTTATGTCATCGTCCCCCAAATGAGAGGGAAGTAAGAGGATGATAGGAGAAGGCCGATGATGTTGCTCACTAGGACTTTACTCTGATAATTAGCTCAAATTTGTTTTTAAGTTTTTAACTAGGTATTTTTGAGCATCCAGTCCAGCCTGCTGTTGCTAAAATTTGGTAAGAAAACCTAGCCAATTTCTGCTATAGGCCATATGCAAGAGGTCGCAATGTTATCCTGGAAGCTGGTTGGTCAGCCTGAGGTCCACCATTTTACTTTAGAGTGAATTAACTGAACTACTTGATTGTCATGAAATTGATCTCAAATTTTCCCTTCTCATATCTCAACTTTTTTTCTCTGGATTGGCAGAAAATTTTGTACAAACTTGTTCCAAGAAGTTGAATATTTACCACTAAGTTCTCTGGTAGATTAATATGTTTCAGTTATTGTCTCTAAAATGTCATGGATTGCCATTAAGGAAGCTCCAATGTGTCAGTTAAACATTGGCTATCACAAAGCTCATTTGAAAACAGACATGGAGAATAATAAAGAGCCAATAAAACATCTCTACCAAAACCAATAATCAGCTAAATTATTTTATACACGTTTTTCTAGTGATCTTGATTTTTCAGAATTGGTGCATCTCTAATCACCATGAAATTGTGTGAGACAAGTCAAATGTTTTAAGTTTGGTCAACTATGAACCTAGAGCAGTTATAGGTTCAACATTTCATTCATCCCAATCTTTAGTTTATGACCACATGCCTGGAAGACTTAATCTTTCACAGACTCAAAATAACTTCATTTTAGGGCTAATCATCATTTATAGACATTCACCATGCTTACACTGACTCCAGATCAGCATGTACGCTTGCTGATGCTAGTTAAGCCCCACTTTACCTAAATACAGCCCCTATAAGTGCTAGAATTTTGCTAGATTCTTCTATATATATATTTTTTTATAGATTCTATAAACTATTCTTAAAAAGTACACAGACTTTGTTGATGTGCCTCAAAATTATGAGCTGGTACGTTATATGGTACAGTTAGTTCCATTGCTGCCAAAATGTTCAAATTCAAAGTGTCTTACTGAGCAAGAAGAGTTATTAGTGTCCTGGTTTGTCCAGTTGGCCAAAACCTTATCGTTGATGTCGCAGCAGGGGTCCATCACTAGTTATCAAAGGCAAACACCTGCTGTGACATCACAAGCAATTGGTGTGTGGCCAGAATCACGACATGCTTGGGATATTTCAACCGTCAGAGAACAGTGTGTCAACAGTTCTGTGCCCTAAAATAAACAACTCACAGGTTAGATATACTGTTCATCCATCGCCGAAGTATGCTTGATGATAATATTTTATTACTCTTGGCCTTACACTGCAGTATTCATTACCGACATTAATTGCTTTACAACATTTCCCGTCTCCTCTGTCATCGTGCAGCAGTTGATTTAGTTCCACGGGTTTACCTTCCAGACCAACCAAACAGGCACATGTTTAAAGACACCTTCCTCTGACCAACAGTAACATGGAGGTGTGTGGTGAAGCAGCATTATGCACGCTGGTGCAATTGCCCAGTGGCTAGTTAGCCGTGGCGTTGACTCTCATTTGACACTCGATTGGCTCAAATGACACTATTACCATGTCTGCATGGCTAATGGCTTCCCCTGGGGGCTGCAGCAGAAGGGGAACATGCGTTTGGCGTGTCAGCTCGAGGTGAGAACACACATGAGCCAGACTCGGGGCCCCGTCCACACCCAAATCAATCCTGACACCTCTTAAGAGGCTCTCAGCATCAATGGCACTCCAGTGCAATTACCCCGTCGGTAATGACATAAGCACCCAGTTCCTTCCTGCCTCTCTCTTACAGGGCAGTGATCGGCTCCCTCAGGCCAGTAGATGGAGACTCTGTGGACCATGCTGGCCTCAGAACAGTTGTTATTTGATCTCTCAGGGCCAAGAGATGGGGACGCTCTCTGCCACACTGGTGAGAGAGCAGCTGTTATCTGATCTTCAGGCGGTGCACAGCCTGTCCCTCAGTCAGATTGAATGTGATGTAGCTCAGCTAGCTGTCAAGATAACCGCTTTCTCAGCAGTGACTGAAGAGGATATCCTCTGAAAGCTTCAGGTTTTAATGATTAGTTATGATAACCTTGAGGAGTGCAGCCGGGGAACATATAATCGGCAGTCAGATCTGAGGTGATAACACTGAGATCCCATGGGTTTCCAGGGGGGACGTTTTCAAAATGGGCTCCTCTGTCCAGCTGGTGTTGTTTACAACCCTTCAACACTTCTTCTGTCCGGCTAAAACAAACTTAACCTCATTCGAGTGGCCGGTCGTTTACTTTCAAAATGATCAACTGATAGTAACAGTATCTGCTTCAAGACTTACTGTATATTTCTTTTATGTCAGAGAATCAAAAGTTTGTAGTTGATGGATATAACTTTTTGAAGCTTTTGTCGACCTCTTCTCTCTTTTAGGTTAAAGTAAACATAAAAAAGTTACCATTTGCATTTCCAGTTCAGCTGGTCAAAGTAAAATTACTGAACAGGATTATGTGAATCATTCAGAATCTCAAACTTTTGCCATTTTGCAAAACAAGTTATTAGTAACCTGTTCAGTCTGAAATGGAACAAGAAGTGCGACCTCTTTATCCCTTTACATGGGACCATTTCATTGTTACCTTGTGGCTCTGTCAGAAAGATATGGCCAACATGTTTGGGTTGGCAAAATGTTCAACTCAACTGTACCTTTGCTGCAATGCACTTGATTCATCAAGCTGCACACTGCACTACCAGTCATGTACAGAGTAGTGCAGGGATTGGTCAATGGGCACTTTGGTCAAGACTGAAATAACTCATCAACTATTGAATGGATTGCCATGAAACTTTGTACAGACATTTATGTTCCCCAAAATAACCTTCTCTGTACTTTTCAATCTAGGGCAAGCATTGGTGAAGAAATGTTGATTTTTGAGAATGTCTGGTTTACAACCAATGTATCTGCGTGTTTTGGTATGCCTTTGTTGGAACTAAACGAAAGCATCCCTGTGCCTGAGTGCAGTTGCTAAATTGAAGTACAATGTTCACTTTTTACATCTGATATTCTGTACACAACTTTCCTTGATTGAGTCGAATCTTTCCTCAATGGTTTCTCTGACAGCAACCCCTTTTCCCCTCCAAAAGGTTTTACTTTTAGACCAACACTTTTGTGCTGGCCCATTTTTTTATCCTAGATTTTTGTGGATAGTATTACTTCTACCTTTGTGCATGTGGAGGTTTAAGATGTACGTACAACATGATCCCTCACCACCTTCTCACCTGTGAGTCAAAGTGCCCTGCCAAGCCTCTACCGGGAACTTAACTCTGTTCTCCATGGCCAGCAGTTCATTCTGCGCCAAGCACTTTGTCTTTGTAGCTGCCCAACAAAACACCAAGTTACATTGTACGCGTTGTGTTTTTCCTGCTCTGCTAAACTCCAATCTACTGTGTAACCTCCTCGGTGAAGAAGCCCAACATTTTCTATGCAGTTGCGGTTTCATGTCTCATGACAGGTGCCGCTCCGCTTGCCCTCTAATTGTATCATGTGGTGCTTGGTGCCACAAGCGGTGGTTAAAGCTGTGTTCCAGCAGGGCCATTCAAGAGCCAATGTTCAGTGGAGTGGGTCGATGCCAGAAGAAAATGAGGCGGTCTGGCCGGCAGGGCTGTGCAGAAAGAGAAACACAATGTTTGTCCAAAGAGTCAAACAAAACTAGTCTTCATACTTTTTCTTTCAGAGGGGTCAAAAAAGCAGCTGCTATCCAATCTACAGGTACAATGTTGGTGCTGTGATGGGCCGTAGGTTCAGTCGTAAATTTGATCTACTTTTGTGGTTCTGCCTTTCAGTGTTTTTTCCTGTTTCGGTTACAGAGGCCTTGAAGTCGTCTGAATGGATGTTAATGGTTATTGTTGGCCGTTGAGGTGATGCATTCTTTGTGCTGGATGTGTTTGGGAGAGAACAGAGGTGCTAGCCATGAAAGTTAGCATCACGGTAACACAAGCATGACGACTGCTGGCCTCCAACCTGCCAAGAGTTTAACACTGACACTTTAGTCCCTGCAGGCTTCTCTCCAGTTGTGACTTTCTCACCTTTTCACCTCCACCCTCCACTCCAGAAAACTAACTCTCCTCTCCTCTCCTCTCCTCTCCTCTCCTCTCCTCTGTAAGGAACATTTATTTATACAGTACTTTTCACAGACAAACGTCATATATCTAAAATCTGAAAATTAATCTACCCTGGATATATTCACCTTCTTTATCAGGAATCTCCAGGAGGTGGACGGGTGTTTTCTGGGATCCAGCCGACGGGGGTTCCCCACCTGGGTAACTACCTGGGTGCCCTGGAGAACTGGGTGGCCCTGCAGAACCAGTATCCCTCAGTCCTGTACAGCATCGTGGATCTGCACTCCATCACCCAGCCTCAGGAGCCGGCCCAGCTCAGGAGCAACATACTGGATATGGCCGCCAGCCTGCTGGCCTGTGGCATCGACCCGGAGAGGGCCATTCTGTTCCAGCAGTCTCGGGTGAGCAGGACCAGCTGGTCAAGTCATAAACATGAGCCCCTATAACGATTACAATTGAGTAGATCTGCAACAGTGAATCCAATAGCTCACTCATCATTGAAATGGAAAAAAGTGATTACAATTTTGGAAACACTGATTTCCATTTTCAGACATTTTATAGGCCAATCAATCAATTCTTCAATGGAGGAAATGATCGCCTTACAATGACATTAACTTGAAGTTGCAGATAAGTGACAAAGAAAACTGAATTATTCTATTTCTAGAGTTGAAAAGCATTATCTTTTTACAAGATCAAGTATGAAACACTCATTTGTAACATACTATATGCTTGTGCACTCATACTTAGCTGATGTAAGCGCCTTTTTTCCTCACATTAACGTAGTTCAAATGAACAGAGATCTTAAAATGATCAGAGCTGCAGTGGACAAGCTTTAAAGCAGGAAAGTGTTATGAATCAATATGTCTTTTTCTTTTCAAATGCAGCTTCTTGTCTCTTTCCAAGTTTTTCCACGGAGACGGTCGGCCATCTTTGTCTGTTTATTTTTACTTCTGTCGACTCGGTTATGTTTACCTGCTGACATGTGGGACGGCCCCCGAAACCGCTTATTTGATCGCTCCTGATTCTTATCTGCTCTGTACGCTCTGCAAATTCACAGGGGCTATAAAAATATACTAAGCTTCAAGACCACTAAGAAGCCTTTGGCTCTGGCCACATGAAGGACGAGGAAGAACAGACCACAGATTTCTTCAGGATTTCTTTACATTCACTGTGAGGACGAAGAGGGAATCAGAACAGCTGTTTGCTTATCCCTCCATAAAATGTGTGTTTTCTTTTCTTTCTTTTCTCACAAGCTGTGAACGTCTGTGTGTGAGTTAAGTTCAGTCCATCTGAATTTCTCTGCCAAACGCCCCTCCCCTACACACACTCTCACTCACTCACGGTCCTATTTTTATTCCCGTTTAACTTCATGCCACATAACTTGGCAGCGAGGACGACCCTCCTGTCGAACACGCCTGCTCCACATGTAAAAATACGACGACTGCCCAAAGAAAATACTCAACTTCATTGCAAAAAAAAAAAAAAGAGAAGATCTGATGTTGAGCTGAACTCGGCTGCACAAAAAAAGGAAGTGAATGAAACGGCAGATCCACAAATCTTCTTGGTTTTATGGAATTATCCTGAAAGAAGGAGGAGGATTTCTCGCTATCAGTGTATCATCCGTAACATTAGCATTTCTATCGCTGTGATGCATTCTTCCCAAGCTTTTAAATATTCAAGTTTTATTGCACTTCAAAACCACATCCATCCCTTTGGGCGCTGTCATCGACATCTGTCCCATCTCTTGTTTGTCCGCAGTATGTAATGAACACCGACCCCCTACGTGTTCTCCAGAAATCCTTCTTTATGTCCCTGATGTCTGCCGCTGACGTCACGCTCCCCAGAATGCTTTTCAAGCAACAAGAGAGAAAAAAAAGAGAGAGAGAGAGAGAGAGAGAGAGAGAAGGGATGGCAGTATAACCAGCATCCATAAACTTTAATTTGCTGAGCAGAAGGATATTTCCTGCATCCTCACACACATTTCACTCCATGAAAGCGGATATGTCGCTGGTTATTTACTGCCACCAGATGCACAAGCAGCGCTGCATCCACATTCATTTATCCACCGCTCCACAACATGCTGCTATTGTTAAATTATTTCAACCCAATGGGGAATACTTTTTGATTAATTTAATTCAATAAACAAATCAATCACCTTCAGCTAAACTAAAACATCAGTAAGAGTTGTTACTGTCTTATTAGCTGATTATCGCTAAATAGTTCTTTATTTCTAAAGCACTTTACACACAACAGAGCGTAACAGAAAAGAACAACAACAACGCAAATGAAAGAACATTGATGTACAGTGTAACACAAAACTTACAGAGCAGTGACCCCTGAGCTTTAAGGGTTAATGCGCCCCCGGTGACTTAATTTATAACCACCAAAGTGACCACAGCTGGTTAAAAATACATTTAAAATTTAAAAATATGTTTAATGGCTTAATAAATCACTCTAATGTGCAGAAGATATTTTATATAAAATACTCTTATTTGTCTTTTAAATGAGTCAACATTAGCATCAGTAGGATTCCCTTGGAAAAAAAACTCTATCCACTGTCCTGTCTGTACAATAAAGGCGTTAAAAGTCCAAAAACAATCAAGGAAAAAGTCAAAATTAGTCATCAGCAGGAGTCCCTTGTGGTTACAAAGAAAGTGACGGTAGATTTCCTTCTATAATCACCCCCCCCTCAACAGAGGTGTTATTTTGAACTCCTTATCTCTTAGTACTTTTATTAAAGCTGTCATAATGCAGCAGGTAGTTAACAGTGTGTTCATCAGCAAATTCATTTCAAGGTGTATCAAATTAAGAAAAACATACAAACTGAAAATGAAACAACGTATCTACACTGACAATGCATGTGTCTCTCTCCTATTGCCATTAAAGCTGTCTGTGTGGACAGTAAACACAGACGTGTACACAGACGCACCTGTCTCTGTAAGGAGTGACTGAGATGAGGAGAAGCAAAGACTGGATTGCAATTCTCTTGTCTGCCACTTGGAGGAGTTAGGGAGTCACCCTCTTCCTGCCCTACAGCTGTCTCCTTAGCAGGCCCCTCATCCCCTCATCCCCTCATCCCCTCATCCCCTTATCCCCTCATCTGTGTTTGTTTAATGTGTCGTCTTAATTGATTCCTAGGATCCATCTCTCCTCTGTGGTGGAGCATTTATCTTTGTGTCTGGGCTGAATTAAGGACAGGTCCATTATAGGATACATGTGTCTGTGTATAGATATGCATGTATATAAATGTATGTTTGTTTTTTATTGCTTTCTGAATACTTTCTGTAATCCAGCCCCACCCAGCCTTCACAACTGACAGTTAAATGAATGCACAGCCAAGCAGAATGACATATATAAATGAGAACGTAAAAAAAATAAACTACAAATTACAAACCACACAGCAACAATATCTGCCTCTCTTAATTAAAAATGCCGGGTCTGCAACAAAAGTGTTTGTGTAGCTGTAGATAAACTTCACTTCCTGTAATTAAGACGGAGCAGGTTTGAGTTCCTAACTGATGATCTTAAATACATGTGGACACTTTGATCTGATCACACTGATCATAAATGGCAGGTTAGAAATCAGAAAACGCATTAAGACAAGTAAGAGTCAGAATTAAAATGCATCATTATGTAATCCAGGAGTAGACCTCAAAAAACAAAATCACAGTGAAACATGTAAGGAGTATGAAGTGCACTGTTAACATATAATGTGTGTCTCTGTTTTTTCCATTCATATTTTGACAGGTAATTCTTTCCTGACAGTGACATTGAAAGTCTCCGCCCCTCCCTCCTCTCTCTCATCCTGTAGGTGTCGGAGCACGCAGAGCTCTCCTGGATCCTCAGCTGTCTGACCAGCATGCCCCGCCTCCGACACCTGCCCCAGTGGAAGGTCAGATAAAAGATTCATACAGGACAGATTCAATATTGTTATTTTTTTTAAAAACGTTTTATTCATGAAATTAAAAGGAGACGAATGACAGCATGTTGGGATTATTGCGATTCCATGTGTGGAGTTACATGGGAGAAAAAAAAAATCAGGAAACATTACATAGACTAACATTTACAGTCAATCAATCTTTATTGCAAAACCAACTCATAACAAATAGTTTGAGACGCTTTACAAAAAGCATGCAAAGAAGACCCCAGAAAAATGGGATAGAGGGAGATGTGATAAGATAGATTTCTCCTCTGTGTTCCTCGCATTCCTGTTGTCTGCACGTCCTTCCTGCTGAGGTGGAGGTCGGAGCAGGCTGTGCATGAGTGAGGACGGCGGTGGTTGTGGGGACGACACAGTCATGCATTTACCAGAAACAACAACAACAACAACTTAGAAACAGTCTAAGATTCAAGGCAGAAACAAAAAAAGAAATAAAACACTTTTTTAACTAGCTTTAAAACCGACTTTTTGTACATGTGAATGAAAACATTTAAGGAGTATTCTGAGAGGCTGAAGCCGGCTCCTTTTATACTTTCTTATTGATTTGAAGCATCACACGTCCCTTGTGCCCTCACTGCTTCACAATCAAGCTGCTATAAACTCAAAGACTGCGCTCGACTTCACTTTAATAGTTGTAAATAATGTTCCATTTTTTCCACTCCCTCTGTCTCTCCGGCATCCATCCAGCATCCCTGTTGTCTGTTTTTATCATTTAGTTTCTCTTTTTCACCTGCCAAACTTCTCAAAAAAGTCAACAATTAGGGCTCTTTTTCCCCGGCGTCATGCCGTTTTAATACATGCTGAGGCAGAGAGAGGGAGCCAGAAAGGTTCCCCACTGCTTCATAGAAAACACCTTTAGTTTACCCACCACCCGAGTGGATCTTAAACATGGTGGAAACATGGCACGTGAACTCACCCGTGCAACGTTTGTCTGGAAAGCTATAGCTCGTACGAGTGAGAATGGCTCCCTCAGAGTGGGGGGGGTGCGCAGGAAGGGGGGGGTCAACTCCAGTCAGTCTATCCCCCTGTGTGTGTGATTCTATTTATTTTGTATTCAGTTTTTCTCCTTTTATTATCTCTTCTCTCTCGACTCATACTGTTTTTCCTTCTTCTGTATTTTTCCTGCAGATGAAGAGCAAACAGAAGAACGAGGGCAGTGTTGGTCTCTACACATATCCTGTCCTGCAGGCCGCCGATATTCTGCTCTACAAGTAAGATGTCAGGACGCCGTGTTTGTAGCGTCCATGTTTCTGTTGCTCAGTGTTTCTTAAACTAATAACTGAAGTGGATGGTTTCATGACTCCACATTAAAAATGACCGACATGACTGATGTCTTTATTTGAACCATAAAACAACCGACACTTAATTTCCTGTGAATAAAGGTCAGAGCAGCAGAGAGGCTCATCTCTAACGCTCTCTGGGTTTTATTAAAGCTTGAATTAATGGCGCTCTTCCTCCACACTGACAGTCGCAGAGGTTCCAACCCCACGCCGAAACAGTCTGCTCCAAGTGTGTCCAATTTGTGCTCGCATCCTGTTGTGTGTTTTATCTCCCGTGCTGTCAGTGTGTGCCGCCTCTCGTCGAGGAGATGAAGCTCACGTCGTGTTTCTCGGCTCTCGTCTCGCAGGTCCACTCACGTCCCCGTCGGAGAGGATCAGGTCCAACATTTAGAGCTGGCTCAGGATCTCGCTCGAATCTTCAACAACCGCTACGGAGATCTGTTCCCTGAACCCGCCGCCCTGCTCAGTAAGAACACACACACACACACACACACACACACACACACACACGTGTTCAGGCCACACAGCTCACGTGCACATGATAGGTTTTTAGCAAGTACAGACTTTTATATTCCAGCTACAGAATATAAAATAAATAAATTCTACGGGAGTTAAGGATTAGGTCCAGTATTTTGTTGCTCTATCTTCTGTTTTTTTCTGCATTAAAAATATTCAGATTTATTTTTTATACATGTAAAATCCTCCGAAACAATCTTAACGTAAATCATAATTTCTCATTAATCTCCTTTAAAACTCCCTGAAGAAACAGCTTCAGTAGAAGTTATGTTATTTATTTTTTTCCATTTCGATCACATTCATTTAACTCCAGTAATGACATGTTTCATCTGGACTATAACACGTTGTATTGAAGCTTTTTTTTCCACATATTAGTTCAGAGAGGGCCGCTGTGATTCCTAAATTAAATCTCCATCATTCTTTTATCCTTTTTTTGTCTGTATCAGATTCCCTCAAATTGTATTTATTAGAACAATTTCAGACAAAGTTTGGTTAATACTTTAATAATCCTTTACAGGAAGTTCCTTTGATACATCAGAGCCGTGTCACCTCGTCTCATTCTGAACATAAATACATTTAGACAAATCAAAAGTCTAAAGAGACAGAAAAGTCAGCACACTGCGGTGTTGATGAAGGCTTTGCGCTGAAAGGCGTCCGTTGCTGTTCTGTACGCTGCTGCTCCACCAGATAACAGATCGTCTGAAGGACATTCAGTGCGCCCACTCTTCTGTCTCTCTTTAGTCGAGTTGCGGTCGTGCACCTTAAAAACTGTCTCACTGTTGAGTGTGCTCCTTTTTTAAATAAAAACCTAGAAATAAAACAAGTTTCAAGAAAAAACGATCTGTAATGCGTTATGAAACATTCAGTGTGCACGGGTGCAATTTTTCTACAATTCATTTGTCAGACGTTTTTATCCAAAATGATGAGAATCAGAGAGTACGTACAACACAAGTGAGGATCTAGAGAGGAGGAAACAACATCAGGAAGTGCAAACAAACAGCGTTAAGTCTTATTGGACACACAGGTGCTGACAGGAAGTGACCAGAGGCCGAGCACATCATCGCCGGCTGTTCTAAGATAGATCTTACCTGTCTCATGCCACAAACATCTTCACACATATGAGGGAGCGTGTTAAAGTTTGTCCTCGTTCATTTATTCAAGTTGATTTTGCATTCTTATTTATCAGCAGAAAGTTACATTAGCCAGTTCAACAGTTCACCAGCTTGGTGAAAGTCATGTTTTGTTTTTTTTACCCATCCAGTGGTAAGCTAGAGGACACAGTTGTCCTCCTACAGGCTGACATTATTTGTATTTGAAATGACTCTGTCCTCCAGTTTGTACCGACAGTTTCACACACACATGGTGGACATGCTCGGGTTTCATCCTCGCTGATTATCAGCATCATGAAAGCACAAGATGGAGTCAGTCATGTGTGCAGTGCAGCTTTGATTAAAGAGATATCGTCTTCCTCTCCGATCACAATAATAGAGTGATAATAGATCAGGGGGCGATGTCCTCGTGATGACTTCTGAGAGGCTTTTTGTCTTGGTGTGTGTGTGTGTGTGTGTGTGTGTGTGTGTGTGTGTGTGTGTGTGTGTGTGTGTGTGTGTGTGTGTGTGTGTGTGTGTGTGTGTGTGTGTGTGTGTGTGTGTGTGTGTGTGTGTGTGTGTGTGTGTGTGTGTGTGTGTGTGTGTGTGTGTGTGTGTGTGTGTGTGTGTGTGTGTGTGTGTGTGTGTGTGTGTGTGTGTGTGTGTGTGTGTGTGTGTGTGTGTGTGCGGGTCCTTATTTTTTGTCTTTGGAAACCAAAGAGTTGCCAGTCACCACCAACCAAAGATTTTTTTTTTTGTATTTGAATGAAAGAAGACTTCTCAAAGACGATGATGAGTATGAGGATGTGGGTCGGAGTATGTGGGAGGATGTGGAAGAGTAGAAGAAGATGTGAAAAAGTTCAGTCTGGCAACATGGTGGAATGATGAGGTTGATAAATCAGACAGGAAAGGAAATCCAGGCTCCTGCAGTCTGTTTCATCACTTCACACCAAGATACGTCTGCTTCACACTGGGATGTTTGACACACACACACACACACACACACACACACACACACACACACACACACACACACACTTCTTTTGTCCCTGCATGCAGACTGTGTGTCTTAGCTTTTTAAACCAGCTGCTCGTGTGAATCTGAGTTTAAAGACTTAATGTAAAGATAATGTTATTCTTAATCGCGGCGTCTGTTAGCCTAGCGGTTATGTTGTATACGCCATGTACAGACGCCACAGTCCTCGAAGTGAGCGACCCCGGTTGAACTCCGACCCCTGGTACTTTGCTGCATGTCATTCCTCACTCTCTCATCCCAGTTATCGTCTCACTTTTAATAAAAGCTCGAGTTTACCAGCTGAAATCCAACAATGCATATTTAAGAAAAGAAAAACTCAAATAGGGCAAACATGCTTTTCACTCTTACAGAAAACTCCTGATATTTCAACTTCTTTCCAAAGAAAAGTCTTTTAAGACTCTGCTAACTACTACTTACACCATTTTAAAATATCACAATAATATGATCTGCACAAAATGAATGGACAGATTGAAGGGTATGTTGAAGGTTTTAATCAGATTTTAAAGGTTGTCATCTCCTTTTGCAGTTTCAGTGATTTATTCTCTTAATTACTACAGAGGATAGAGCCCTGTTATAGAAGAATAACCCGAGAGATTGAGAGGCTAAAGTCTGAATATTATGAGAATAAAGAGAGAACAAGTTGTGTGCACAGTCGAGCACGAGGTCACGGAACAGATTGTGATTTAAAATGTTTAGATAATAAAGTAATTTAATATAAATTTTCTTACATACAGCCCCAAACTTCATCGTATGCCGTTATGATTTAATGTTGTTTTTCTTGTCCTGCTCTCTGCTTCTCACGCTAAACTCAGGATCTGCATCTCTTTTTTCCATAAACAAAGACTCTGACAAACACGGCGCTGCGTGAGTTGTGACTTGCAGTCGTGGTCTCATGCAAAAAAATGAACGTAATCTTCTTTAAACCTTGACCACACTTTCCTTCAACGCTATAGCACTTTATTTATATTTCTACCGGTTACGTTTTCTTTTCTTGGTTGTATTCCCTCAGGTCGTGTTGCACTGTCTGTAGTATGTACACGAGTTGGAAATGAGCTATATACTCTTTATGCAGCACATGAGTTTCATGCTTTGTATTGAAACTATATTAAATTGAATTGTTCCTATTAAATAAATAAATTCAAATGTGTTTCTCAATTAAAGTTTCAAACCTTTATTTATTCTTAAAGGGACATTTCTTCATTTCCAATGCCGATGAGATTACAAGCACATTAAAAACACTTTTAATCAATTACTAAAACAACTGAGATCAATTTAAACAAATTGGATAGAAATCAAAATGCTGAATTCTGCAAGAGAAATTAAAACTACAATCCAGGTTTTGACCCTCTGCTGTAAATCAAATTTCCCTTCCAGGGACAAAAAAGGTCTGAACGTAAAGACGCTCTGATTGAACATCAGTCACGGACAAACCACTGAAGGACTGAGCTTTTTTCTTCTTTTTATAAGGAGTTGCTTCAATCTATATTTGAATCATATTTAAGTGATGGCCATATTGGATTGTTGCATGTTTTTTAACAGACTAAATTGTTCCTGTGAGGCTTTGAGAAACTCTGGATTTGGTAAACTCATCAATCTGCTGCTTCATCATTTTGTTTTTCACATCAAACTATTTAATCTCTCATTCTGATTTCCGTCCGCAGGCTCCACACGAAAAGTCAAGTCTCTTCGGGATCCTTCTGCAAAAATGTCAAAATCTGACCCTCAAGCGATGGCGACCGTCACCGTCACAGACTCTCCTGACGACATCGCCCTCAAGATCCGCCGCGCCGTCACCGACTTCACCTCCGAAGTCACCTTTGACCCCGAGACGCGGCCGGGCGTGTCCAACCTGGTGACGATCCACGCCGCCATGGCGATGATCGGCGTGGAGGAGGCGGTGCAGCAGGCCAGAGGGCTGGACACGGGAGAGTACAAGAAGCTGGTTACGGAGGCTGTGATCCAGAGGTTAGCGCCCATCAGAGAGGAGATCGAGAGGCTGAGGGGGGACAGGGCTCACCTGGAGGAGGTGCTGGATCAGGGGGCACGCAGGGCTCGAGAACTGGCTGCTCCGGTCCTCAGGGAGGTCAGACACAGGGTGGGATTCTGCTGAGCCTGCATTAATACCACAGGCTGAGCTCAGTACGACATGCTGCTGGTGACACCTTTTATTCCCATGACTGTTCGCGTTTCTCAAACATGACCTCACAACGTGCTGGTGACATGTGAAAACAGATCAACGGACTACAAACGGATGAATGGAGCAGCTTTGTTATTTTGCCTTCTGAGTTTGTCTCCTTGAAATGAACGAGGAGTCTGTTTATTATGATGTTTATTTATTCACCTTCTTTTGTTGGCTGTTTGTTTCCCCAAATACAAGTCAAGGCAAGTCACACAGCACATTTAAAAAGAGCAGCAGCTGACCAGAGTGCTGTACGATGCATTAAAGAAACAACATACAGGAGTTTACAACATTTATAAGGATAAAGAAACAACAACAAAGAAGGCAATTAAGAGAACCTGATAGAAATGGTGTGTTCAGGAGCAGAGGACTCAAATGCTAACATATAAAAATCAGTTTTGAGGCGGGACTTAAAGGCAAGGCAGTTCATTTATATAGCACATTTCAACAACGAGACAATTCAAAGTGCTTCACACAAGACATGAAAAGCATCATGACAGAGGAAAAAGAAACATTAAAATAGAAAATTAAAAAATCACAAAAACATACAATTATTAAATATAGGAGTCAGACAGAGAGGGCAGACCTGAGGAAAGGGCTTAAGGCTGTTCTGCAATTTACAACACCAGGAGTTTTTTTTAGTATGAAGTCTTCTTGTCTTGATGCTTTAGTCCTCAGCCATATGTCGCTAAACTTCAGAAAAACACCTGAACAAATCTCAGATCTAAAGAGGTGATATGTGTGAATGTGTGGCTACCAGATCAAATCTGCATCGTGCTAAACACAGACGTAAACAAACCCTCATACCACGTTTAGTCATACTGATTGAACTTGAAGCATCCCGACCAATGACACTGCAGGAAAATATCGAATCATCTAATGCAGGAAGCTCATGACTTTGTCCTGCAACCTCAACAGTGTGATTAGTTATGTGGATATTAGTCATGGCAACTTTTTCTTTCCATAGGTAGCCTGTGAAAAAACAAATATACATTACCTGTAGAGAGACTTGTGAGACACAGACGTGGGCGCTAATGTTTCTGGACTCACTGCTTGTGTTTTTTTAATTTTTTTTTATTATGTCTGAGATGTTTCAGGACCAAGTGTAAACAGGCTCTCAGTCACGAGGAGTGAGATCCTACGTTCTTTACACCAACCTGCAATCTGCTCTGACAAAGAGAAAAAACAGAAATACCAAAACACACATTTTTGCAGATAAGAGTCAGGTTGGATAAATGCAGCTGGAGAGCTGTTCTACACATTTAAATACTTCAAAACAGATTCATGCAAAAAAAAACATTTAATCCAACGTGTTTTTCAGAGACAAAGAAACGAGAGAAATTAGAGGAGTGTGAAAATACCAAAAGTACCAATTAAAGAAAATGCCTCTACAGATGTGCACAATGCAACATTTGGTCTCAAATAAATTCTAAAGACATAAAAGTCAGAGGCAGTTAAAAGATGAATTATATTTATGAGCCTGAAGGAGGCGTCGTCATGTTGTGCACTTTCTGGAGAGCAGAAACACGACTCGAGAGGTTTTGTGTTGCGACAATTGGACATTAATGGAAAGATTATTGAATGAAATAAATCAAGACAAGGCACCCGACATGTTTTAATCAACATATATAAAAAGGTGCTCATGTTTGCCTCTGAAGGGACGTGCTCTTATACGTAATGAACTGTATAGGGGTATTTTATTGCATTCTCACTAAATACATTTCCATACAGCATCTTTTACCCTTTGAAAAGTCAGTGTAAATCATGCACAACAACACACAGCAGAGGGGAAAAAGACAAGTGATGTATTTCTGCCTCAGACACTGAATTAATGTCTCTTCAGCTGCAGAGAAAACGTCAGAACGCCAGCGCTTAAACACCGAGCATTACACCCTGAAGATTTTGCAGGTAAAGATTTCAGATTCAGCACTGACATGAAGGGGATAAAAGGTGTGTGGTGGTGGAGGGGGGGGTGGGGGGGGGGGGGGGTCACAGGGAATTATCTGCTTGTTGGTGTTGCTTTTGTCTCTTTAAAAATACTATTTAAAAAAGATGAGAGGAGACTTTTTTTTTATTTGCAGCTCAGCATTTACATTCAAAACTTCAATTTTAATTCAATCAACACTGATTTTTTAAAACTTGAGACACACTGATGTATGCTGACAAAACTCAAACCTTCCTCTTAGATGATGGATGCTAAACCTTGTCTTGACTGTAACAACTCTTATTGAGAACACACACACACACACACACACACACACACACACACACGCATAGCTGATTACATTTGAAACACAAACTTTACAAAAGGGAACAATTTAAAGCCTCACTTTGGACTCGAGGAAATTGCAGTGAGATTTTCCATTATCTAAAAAAAGAAAAGATGAATTCATGAATCATGAAAATATTCTGGAGCTAAATTGATGATTTGAATTTCTGTTTGCAGCTCAAATTGCAGACAGCACTTAACACATACAGCTGTGTATGCACACTTACTTCAGCGACTTAAATAAAGAAAAAACACTTTGACACGATCAGACTCAACCTTTACTCAGAGTAGGTCACACAGAGAGTGTCATTCTCTCCGAGGATACACATTAATTTATTACCATAATGGCAGCTTTGTAGAGATCTTCTGCAGCCTCAGAGCATCTGAATCAAATGAGGAATAAATCTAATGAATTTCTCCTTTGTTTCTTCAATTATTTCCCTCTTTTTCTTCCGATCAGTTTATCGGCTCCATTGTCTCTCTTGGTTGTGTGTTTCTGTTGATTCTTACTTTAATTTGGGTTTAATGTGTCTCCCTATTTCTCCCTGTCACCCCGTGTCATTCTTCCTTGAATATACTCCTTCACAGTTCATTCTCCTCCTGCTGTTTCTGCTCTTATTGCTCTAACTTTCTGCCATCACACTTTCTCTAATTGAAAATGCACCTCTGGTCCTAAATGTTTCTACAGGACCAGAAAACACACACACACACACACACACACACACACACATACACTATGGAGCTGGACCATGTGGTGTATTTTCCAACCTGATATTTACCTGGGAACAGATCGTGTCCTCGCTCGGTTTGTTTCCTTTAGCTCCGTTTTTTTTCTGTTGGCACGAGCAGCTAACGGTGTGTAAATATAAATATATACACTACACACAAACACTACACACACACACACACACACACACACACACACACACACACACACACAGAGCAGCAGACTGTAAATCACATCGACCTGACAAACACGCCTGCAGTGATACCGTAACCCTGTTTTTAGTGTGAAAGCGACACCGTCACTGAACCGTTTAATAGGGTCGTAATAAACATGACTTATTAACAAAATCTGGGCTTCAGTGCATACAAATAAATACATGATATAAAGAGAATAAATATTAAAATTGGACATATTTGATGTTTGAGGTGTGCGCGTGCAGAGACCGTAAACTAAAAAGTCTCTTAAACTGCACTCCTTAAAGCTCACATCAACGATGATAAATAAGACAACATTCCCAGTTTTTAAGTTTGTTATTCAATGCGAAGCAATGGACAGAATGTGTGATGTGATTTTGTGACTTTTATTCGTAAATATGTTGAAATTAGACACAAAGAACAAACATGGAGACGGAGAGATAAAAACTAAGAAACTAAGAAGTCACCCAGCAGGAAAAATACTGACAAATATTTATCAATTTAAAGGATTGTAAAGCAATAACATCCGCGTCTGAAAACAATAATTAACACATACAGCATGAAGTGTAAAATGCGATTATAAATTTGTATTAATACTTTTATTCAGAGCGTTTTCTTCTCCAGACTTCAGAGTCCGAGAGTTTTCTAACACCGGGCTATTTTAGGATCTAATATCCAGATAAAACCTCGTGAATAATGTTCAGCAGAGATACAAATGTCCGTCAGTTGATTAAAGATTTATTATTTATTTATTTACTTGTGACCTGCCGAGGGACAGTTATGTTTAATACGGTTCATGGTCCTTTTCCAAATAAAATAAATAAATACCCTAATGATATGTTTGTCACCCGGAACTGCGTGACGTTAAAGTCCATGATAAATTCAAACACAGTTCTGTTTAACTGTGGAAAAAGTGGAGAAACACGCAAATACAAAGGCCATTCAAGTATGTAATTATATTTATAAATCACTTCGGGAAATCAGTTTTCTGCTGATTTCTAAAAATATTATTGCGTAACAATTTATGCAGCAAATTCTTGTTATTTTCTGTTTAAAGCCATAATTTTATTGTTATTGGTATATTAGAGCTAACATCATATTTTCACACAATTAAAATTATTTTAGTGGCATAGTCATTTATGCAGCTAAAATATGTTTTTTCTCAAAATTAACATTATTTAAAAATAACGATTGAGATCAGTATTATTTGTCCTCTCCATAAATAAAGCGTTTGAATGTTAATTGGCTGGACACTTTGATTAGATATATTCTCTACATACATCAACCCTATCTTTAAAAAGAAACGCTTTCATGTTTAAACATTTTAAACGGTTATGAACAACCACTGACTGATTCCGTCTTGCTTTTACGCACAAATGATCATAACACATCTAACTCTTGTTCCTACTTTTATGTTTGTTTTTCTCTCGCTCAGACTTTTTACTCACTCACTTTACTTTATAACTATTTTGAGGAAGGTGTTGAACAAAGAAGCTCTTAATCTGTAAGGGCCTGAAATATTTGACCTTGACTCTACGTCATTGCGCATCGAAGTTACGCAAATAATTACTGAAAGCGAAATTTCACAGCTGCTCAACCTTCTCGCAGGTAGCGGATACTGCTTGTTTTACGCTTTAAGATGAGCTTCAACGATCACTGCAAACTAGGCCTCAAATCAACCAGTCTCCATCCTCACATCTTCTTCTTCTTCACGGTGTTCGGCTCGTGCAGCAGCTCTCTACACCATATTTAGAGGCTCCAGTCCTGCGCGCGGAGTCTCGGTCTGTGGCCCGGGTTAAAAGGTGCTGAAACGAGCCGTGAGCTGCTGTCAGTTTGGATGCTTTACTGCTTTCTGCGTGCTTCCATCCCCGGGGTCAGACGGGGTCAAACGCTTTCTTTTCCTAATTGAATATTAACGGCACGTTTGACCGTCACCGCCCACCCTAACACGTGTCCCTCTGGTGGGAAAAAAAAAAGTGAGAAAACAAAGCTGCTTCTGAGAAGTTCTCAGTTTTATGAGTGCGTGTTTTGAGCAAATAGTCTGAGAATCCCACAGTTTGGTAAAAAAAAAAAAAAAAAAAACAACAAGGCAAGAATAGCGCTTAGGAGTTTAAATGTAAAAATGACTACCAGATGAATTCAGAAAGTGTGTGGCAGCAAATATTTGCATCCAACCAGCCTTTAAAAAAAATGCATAAAACCCCAGAGGATATTTATCAGATTGCGTTGAATAGCAGATAGAATAAGGCGTTCAGATGTGGCCTTCCTGCTTCAGGTTTGTGTTTCTGAGAGGAGGGATCTAAACAGAAAACAGTTGGTTTTAGGTTTTACTGCTCGTGTTTAACGAGTTTCCTCCCACAGGGATTTAAATCCACTCTCACGATATTTCTTCTGCCACAACTTTACGCGCCAGCATTTAGTCTACAAAGTTATATATAAACATACAAAAGTAGGATATATTTTCGTCTTATGGTTGAGAAAAATCCCGAATGAAAATATGGCAAACGGTGTCTGATTCACGAATAGGTAGGCTTCAGGTCGTGTTAGCGCGCACGTTATTTACACCAAAGTGTCAGAAACGCGCAGATTTTCTCCCGCTTTATATTCAGATTCAAAACGGTTGACTTGTTGATAATGAAATGTCACTTCCTGTCAAGTTTGCGCATGGTGACGTAACTTGATTGAACGATTAATTTGTGTGACCTTTACGCGTTTGATATTTTAGTGTCAGAAAAATTTTGCTACGATATAATTTGTCTTTGGTACACACTTTTTTGAACTGAACTTTTTTGGTTCAGTTCCAGCTTTGTCTTTTTCTTTGAATATTCTGCCTTTAAATGTCACCGTTTCTATTTCCTTAAAATTCTAATCAAGATTTTTTTTCCGCACTTCAATGTTTATTTGAAGACGACAGAGAGCACAGCGGTGACCTTCGGGGGAGTCTTTCAGGACCCACACGTTTGACTTCAGGCCGCCTTCAGCTCGTGACGGATCAAACCAGCCCGGTCCTCAGCTCCGTCTGTCTGTGAAGGATCGCTTCGTTTAGCCGCTGACAGGAGATGTGTGACTTATTTTCACCTCTCAGGAGGAAACTTTTCTCTGGTCGGAGCGTTTTCTGCTGAACGTCAGGGGTGAGGATCAACACTGAGAGGAGAAGAACTATCTTTGGAAACTGGATCCTATTTTTAAAAATAGGATTCAACTCAAAAACTCATCAACGAGGTAATACTACTACTACTACTACTACTACTACTACTACTACTACTAATAATAATAATAATAATGTGTTGCTGCTGTTGTTCTTTTTATATTATAATTCTTATAATTAAACTAATGTTTTTACATGTTTTGTTGCATTATAGTTGTTGTTTTTGCTGTTTTGATTGTTGTCAAACTGACTTAATAAGCAATAATAATAAGCACAAACACACACAGAGACAGAGAGAGAGAGAGAGAGAGAGAGAGATATTTAACTGTGTATATTTTAGTCCTACCGTTTATATTTTATTCTCCAAGTCATCTACATTTTCATACACTACTTCTATGTGAAATACAATATTGTTTCTTCTTCTATATTTAATGCAAATTTTGTTTAAAATGTATAATTGACTAATCGAATAATTGTCCTGAAGTTCGGAAATAATTGAGACTTTATTGTCCAAAAGTGGAACGTGCATTTGGCCAACTTGACGAACGTAATGAAAATACTTCAAGAAAATGATGGAAGTCTTCATTTAAAATCTTTACTTCTTTTGAATTATATGCCTCTTGAACGTGTCGTTTTGGATCCATAGTGTGTGTGTGTGTGTGTGTGTGTGTGTGTGTGTGTACACTGTCAGTCACTGACCTGCAGTTCCGCTGGAATAAGCGCTCAGTGCACCGGACAGAGAAACTATTTCACTCGCTAATCCTCTCGTTCCTTTATTTCTGTGCCCACCTGTTCTCTCTGCAGCTCCTCTCCTCAGCTGTTAGAGACACAATGAAGCTGCAAATGTGACTTTTCCTTCAACCACAGTAATGATACAGTCAGCGGCTCACACACACGCGGTGAAAAGACACAAGACATTAGAATGACTTTGGGTTGTTTGCCAGAGGGAGAGGAGAGGCCGCACGCGAGGCCCTCGACACAATTTCATCCAAGGTCGTCGGATTCAGACGCCGGTGAATCAACCGAAGTCAAGAGAAGTGAAGCAGCAGGATCTGAGTGTCAGAGAGGAAAGACAACAGGACTTGGTGCGGTGAATGAATAAATAATTTGACTTTAAATGACAACATTGTGTGATTTTATTGACATGTTTCGCAGATAAATCCGCACGTGAAGCTGGTTGAAAGTAAAAGCACCAAGCTTGTGTATTTTTCTTCAAACATTAAACATTTACAATCAGTTCATCAGAATTCTGCAGTTCTGATGCAGGCTCTTCTTGCAGGACGCGCGTGTCTCTCATGCTGCCATTGGACAAAACACTTTGTCGCACTCGCTTTCCTCACTTCTCATTGGCTGTTCTGCTTTGACAGCGCGCAGGAGCCCCGCCCCCTCTGAGCCAGAAAAAAAAAAAAAAAACTCCTCCAGAAGTGAGTATCAATCAGCGAGAAGTTGGGGGGACAGAAAGAGAAAAAGAAAGACACAGAGTAGAAGGACGGAGAGACGCGCAAAGCGGCACACCGCATCCAAACGATCAATTCTCCCGGACTCGAGCTCATGTGCAGCCATGATGGCACTGTCAGCCCTCCAAAGTTTGACGCGACGTTTCTAGTCACAGTTGGGATTACTTTGGACACTTGGTGAGTTTGCCTGACGCTGTAAACACTGACGTGTGTTTTTTTTCTGTTTCGATCACTGCGTTGGACGGACGGAGAGGGTTTTTGCCGCGTCCTCCCCCCACTTGGGTGGATTTGAGAGAAATGAGTGAGAGGAGGCGATCTGCCGCAGCTCTGAGCTCGAGAGCCCACGCTTTTTCCGTGGAAGCCCTGATCGGCTCCAACAAGAAGAGGAAGCTGCGAGGCTGGGAGGAGAAGGAGCTGGAGTTGTCCATGGAGAGCCTCGCCGCGGACGGAGAGGACCCGGCGCACTGTCTGGATATGGACCCGGGTCAGTGCGCAGACATGCACCATGCACACCGTTTAAATGTCCGGAGCTCCGTTATATCACAAAGCGACGAGTCCCGAGTCAAAACATGGCTCCAGTTTCAATGAGCCAACCCCACGACAGAGCATTAGGCTGTAACATCCGCGGCCTCGGTGTGGACGTAGCGTGTTTTCTCTTTAAACCTCAGCGTGAGAGAGGTTCAGCTGTGCTGCAGCGCTGTTACACAAAGAAAAGAAAACGTTTCTAATTGTAGAATCAGCTTGTAATCCAGCAGGCCTGTAGAGAATGTCAGTCATGTTGGTGTGCTGTCAGGGATATGACAAGAAATGCATCAAGAAAGTCTTCAGTCAGCTAATTTACACCAGCAACAAATCAAACTATCAAACAATTGTAAAAAAAAAAAAAAAAAAAACCCCAACAACTTTTAATTGAACTGGTGGAATCCACCACAACATGTAGAACTGACTTTAAGAAGATGTGAGCCAAAATTGACCAAAGCGTAAAGCTGTGTCTGTTTTGACGCGTTGAGGCCTCTGCGACGATATGAACGAACACACTGCGCTGCCTGGATTTTGCACTTGAATTTGTTAGATTTCACACCGCTGGAGACTTTTACCCAGACTCTACCTCGCGCAATAGTTACTTATAATAATTACTTTTGCATTGAAAGCGTCTAAACTGCGCCACATGCACACCACACAGAAATGTAATATACCCAGGTGTGATAAAGCGCAGACAGGATTTTCAGGATAAATGAAACACTTGATTGATCGTTTTAAACATGTTTTAAAAGAAAACAACCAAAGCGTGAAATGTAAACACAGGCGAGAAATAAATATGGATTATGACCTACAGTAGAGCCGACGTGTAAGAAGCAAAACATGAAGAAAAAAAAAAGCTGAAATACATTTGATAAATTAAACAGCAACGTGAGATTAAAATATTAGAGTTAGGAGAGTTGTTAGATTACGAGTGATGACCTGTGTGAATTAAGATAATGTGTTAATAATACGTTTTCAATAATTGTATTTAGACGAGGCGTTTTAGAAAAGACAAAGTTTTTTTGCAGCAACTGTTTACATTTCGGTTATTTTTCAAATGTAATTTACGTCAATTTTGCGTAACAGAAATGTGCGTTAATTTAAATCTTGAGCTCACGGGCAAAAATAATTCTTCTGTCTTGTTGATTGCACGTTCATAACGATCTCCCCGAAAAGAGGTGCTCTTCAAAGAATTAAGCGTTTGAATTACATCCAAAGAAGTGTTTCGTTTATTGGCGACCAGATGAAACAGAGATAAGCATGCTGCACCGCTGAGGAGATTTCTTCTGCATCAGACCTGAAGTGACTTTTAACCTTTTAGGCGTCGCTCTGAGCTGAGGCAAACGGAGAGCGAGCTGCGTGTTTGTATGAGCCATGAAGCTAAAAATGTTGTTGTGTTTGCTCTGAAAATTCAAGGTCATTCAGTGCAAACGGTGTTTAGAGGAATGTGAGAGTGTAGTTGTCTTGTCGCTATTGCTTTGGTAGAAATGAGCTTCGTGATGATTATAGATCCAAATGAGGCCTGTTTTTGTTATTGTGGGTTTAATTTGGCTTTAACATTTACACGTCTAAAATATTGATTAATGAATTACAGTCAAATATTTTGTAAGAAGGCAGATACTAAGAGAAATGATGCTGACTCTTCTCTGCTGCTCAGGCCGGCTGCAGGCTGACCTCTTACGGCGTCTTTACGCACGGCTCCTCGGTGCACTGAAAGCGAGTGTGATAAAAAGCCAGAATTTGAGGATTTCAATATGTATTTCTTTCCCTTAATAACTATTAGATTGACATTGGTGCCTGATATTAAAACGTGGAGCTGTCTGCAGTGTTGTCAAACGGGGGACATTAAATTAAGCATCGACTACAGCGCTGCTGACGGTGAACAGCTTGTTGTTAGTTTTGTGTTTTTAAGGGAATCAGATTCCTCCAGACTTCATTAAACATCCCGCAGTCATTTTCTAATCACCTCTGGTTCTGTGGGGCAGAAAGGTCTTTCTGTTCATCTCCTCCTAAGGTTTTGTCCCATGGAGTTTTGGGATTTGTGACTGAATGAATTATCAAGTTCCAGGTCCCCCCCCCCCCCCCGGTGCCGCTCATTAGCAGGCGGGTTCCTGGCAGGTTCAGCGGGTCGCTCGAGCTCGGGTCCTAAAAACCTCCGCTTTGGACGGTGACCGAGAACAGCGAGTCTCTGTGGTCAGATTATGTGGTCTGAAGGAATCCTTAACGGAGTGATTTTATTTTTTTACTCAGCTGCAGGCGAGGCTGGAAGCCGGTTGGTCGTATAACACGTTTATTAGCCTCAGAGACAAGGGCAGGACTGAGGGAGGCACAGGAACTGAACCAGGCTCACATTTAACGGTCTGCCTGTAAGAGCGGAACGGTTCAGCTAGTTAAACCTCACAAAAGTACGACAACCACATCCACAATATTAACCCCTTTAATTCAGTAATTAACAAGATGAACTACACCTAGTATAACCTAATATTAAATGTCACTGAGCCAAAACCAAGTGGTTTACAAGCTAACACTTTGACGCACAGATTTACGCACAGAACGCGATAAAGAATAACTCCTGAAATCTCCCGGGTATCCGTAAATTCCAAACATTTAAAGATTTCTGCACAACACTCGGTGCTACTAATACCAATATGGAAAAATGCTTCATTGTTTTCGGTGCTTCCCTCCTAATGAAAATCTGATAAGAGATGTGTGTATGAGCGGGACAGAAGTTTATACTCCTTCCTTCGTGCCTGAGCCTCCATCACAGACAGAACAGGTGCTTTCTGTGTGTATATTTGGTTACTTGGTGATTTCATGGTTTGAAAGTTTGCTTCTGTCCACTGAAAATCTGCTGAAACTTCATTCAATACAACATGTGCAAAAAGCCTATTTTGCTATAAACTAAATATGGTAGTAACTCTGATTCCAACCTTTGTCTCTTGGAGAACCTCTTCACTGTCTTGCTTGTAAATCTCTCAAAATGTTTGATATCTCAAGTCAAAGTTTCCCCTTTATCTACAAAGAAACACATATTTTAATAAGTAAGAACAGTGTCACCCATACATTGTGCTCTCTGTATGTTCTTAAGTTCAAATTTGATACTTTAAAAACAATGTCTGTACATCAGAATCACATTAGAGATATTGCATATGATGTGTGATATTTTTTTACAAGCTTTAAAATGTTCCTTATTCAGTATTTTGTATGTTTAGAAATTGTGCTAAAATATATTTCTGCAGGTTTCAGTGATGTCCGGCTGCACATTTAAGAAAAGAGATGAAAAAACAGCTACATTAAAGAATTAAATCTTCTCTGTTTGACACATCATAAACAGAAAATTAAAAATATTTAATCAGGTGCACAATTTTTAACTGCTACTGAAATAAAAAAAAAGGTAAAAACTTCACGTCAGCCATAATTGGAAAGATGATTCCCGCATGGCGAGCTAATTCTCTCAGTACATTACTAAAACTATCCTAATGTTTAAAAATATATATCTAAATATTATGTCAAAATTACTATTAAGTGGTTTAGGGATTTCTCTTAAATAAATGATAATCACAATTTTATAAAATGATATTTTTATTTAAAAATCATCTTCTGAGCTGTGTGGATGTGACGCTCAATTAAAAAGTTTATGTTTCAGTATTATTCTCGTTAAATATATGGTATAAGTGCTTTATTCTTTCTGCTAAGTTCAGCCATATTTTAGCTGCCCCTGTGTTGATATAAGTGTGTGACTGTGTGTGTGAGAGAGACAGATTGGGTGTGTGTGTGACTGCATGTGAACTGTGAGTGTAATGTGATGTACAGCACTGCCTTGATTAAATTTAAACCAATTAGTGGCCTGCTATGGATGTTAGCTTCATTTTAATGAGGCCTGCATGAGCTGATTGGGAGCCTTCAACCACAAGATACAGCCCCTGACTCTGTGTGTGTGTGTGTGTGTGTGTGTGTGTGAGATAGAGAGTGAGGGGCTTACCACAGCAGATGTCAGGGCAGAGTTGTGCTGACTGGACGAGTTTTTGTTCATCAATAAATGTCACTTTTCATTCATCCAGCTCTTAAACCAAAAAACTAAACTGAAGCTTGGACCCAAAGACTGAAAGAAAACTGTCACATAAACTCGCTGCTGTGTGATAATTTATTAAAGGCTGTTATTAGTTTCTGAATCGTTTCTGAAACGATTTTAAAGTTGAGAAATTGGTGTCTTCAGGCCAACTAGAGATGCCAACATTTAGCAGCTCAATTATGTGTTTTTTTTTTTCTGCGCACAGCTCTTATTTTGTTGCTTTTAGTTGATCTGTGTGTGTGTGTGTGTGTGTGTGTGTGTGTGTGTGTGTGTGTGTGTATGGTTGGTTTGCGATAAGGGACACATCCTTCAGCATGTATGCAGGGCGTCCAGACACAGATGCTATGCTCTGCATTGGCCTGTGTTTCTCCTCCTCTGCATCTCACAGGCGTCCCTGCTGAAATTATCTTATGTAGTCGAGCCGTTAGCTCTCTGGAATGTGTGTGTGTTTCCTCTGAACGTCTCGGTCTCACACACCAACTTCCAGGTTTAGATGCTTCGCGTAGATACGGGTGCAGCTCACTGAGGCTTTTGAGGCTGTGTTTTTGGCAAATACTTCAGCAGATTTCAGTTAGTAGTTTTGAATCCTGTTGGAAAAAAAACAAACACCCACATCCAAAACTCTCCAGACTGATGGCTTTATTTTAGATTTGTCACCTAATGTAGGTGGTGAGACTAGTTTAAAGCCTTAAAATGAGAAATTATTCAAACACAGAACTTTATATAAAGGGAAAATAAATGACACTGTGGGAATTTTTTTTTTTTTGTCACCTGTATCTCATATCTGACGAACAAACTGAAAGTGTTTTATTTATTAGAGCCTGAAAGTAATAAAAACAAACAGCAGTATCTGTCTTCAACCTAACAAGACTTTGTGGTTGTCAGTTTGAGCGAAGCAGCTTGAAAATAAAATAATCTGAGTGTGTTTAGCATGTCAGTGCAGCATTCACATAGAGGACAAAGTTAGGAAAATAAGCACGACATAATTATTTGGGAATCATCTGGGGAATAAAAAAACTGAGGAACTCCTCAGGTTCATTGTCAAGAAGGTTTACACGAGGAATTTGTCTTTGTTGTTTTTTTGGTGCAGCTTAAAAAAGATAGAATATAGGAGAAAAAAGAAGAAAGAAACAGAAGTACTCCTAATGTCAAACTTAAATAGAATAATATTAACAACAAATAGATAAAAGATAATAATGTAATATGAAGTCTCGTTTTTCTTTTTTAAAATATTGCCAGCTTGGGAACGTACAAAATAACAACATAAAATGTGTTTATAAATCACATTTTATTACAGATAATCTCAGTGAGCTATAACTTGGGGATAAAATCATAGGAAAGCTAAAATTAAAAATTGCTTCTGCACTCATGCATAATATATAGAACTGAAATCAATAGATCAAGCACGCAGCGTCCATCACTCAGCGCACTAATAATTATAAAGAAAAAAAACTACAACCACAGAAACTAAAGGCTCATTCTCCATGTTTGAAAAAAAGAGTCCATCATGATCTAATCGTGTGTTTGTGTCACGCATAGAGTCAGATGTAGAGGCTTAACATGGATGTAATGCTAATGTAGTGCTAAGTGACTATGACGGCTGGATGATGGGCTGCTGACTGAAGGAAACACTTTTTTTGTTGGTTGCAATATTTCTCCAAAACAGTTGAATAATTACACAGCATGATCTGTCTGCATGCATTATACACATGAACTGACAGAATCCCCAAGCTATGATCTCCCTGTTTGATATAACATGCTATCTCTAGCCTGATTTAATTTAATCCTCATTTTCAAGATTAAATTACAGCAGATCAGGACGATAGTGAACTTTCTTCAGTCCTCTTCTTTAAAGACCATCATCAGTTTTTATATGAGTTTTAATATGGAGCGAGGGGGCAGCTGTTTGAGTGTATCAGTGTGTGTGTGTGTGTGAACAGTTAAAGGAGAAAAACAGGAGAGTAATCATGTGTGACAGACTCATTGGCTGCAGTGACACTGAAAGGATCTCCCAAGAAGATGATGGAAAGTGTGTCTGTGTCTCTCTGTGGTCATTACAGCCCCTCCACACCTCCACCCCTCCTCCTCCTTCTGCTCTTCCTATCTCCATCCCTCCTCCTCTCTTCTCTCTTCTCTCCTCTCTGTGCTCGTGTTTCCAGCCGGCTTGGCTCGGCCTCGGCTGCAGCGGTTTGGCCCGGGACTCCGTTCAGTCTCTCAGCAGCTCTGCATTTGCATAACCATATTTGTGTGCCCGTCAGTCTGCCAAGTCCACCTCCTCGTGTCAGGGCGTTCAATAAATAATACATTATTAGATTTCTTTTTTGGGTGGTGGTGTTGGAGGGGATGAAGGATATTTAACAATAAACTACTTCTGAGAAAAGTCAAAGAAAAGAGTGTGTGTGGATCTTGGGAGAGTTGAATCTGGGTAAACTGCAGTTTTTGAAGTGGCTAGTATTAAAGATTTGTCCTCACAGCTGGAAAACTATAATGCTTTTAAAATTTGAACTGGACAAGGTCAATTCATTTGTTGAGACACCTTGCAACTTTCTTTCAGGTAATTTGGGGGTTAAAAAGTGTTAATAAATAGCTGAAAAAGGTGGTTAGTATAATTAGCTGGTTTCGAGATTAAGTACTTAAACAATGTCTAAAATGTACAGAATGAAAGGAAAAGCTCCTGATGCATTTTGATGCAATGTCTCTTTTATTTTGTCCATCTTGGTGTGGACTTTAAGAGTAGATTTGTCGATGAAGCTCATGTGAAGGATTCTGAGGTCACCCATGTTGGTGTCTGGGAGTTTGAGTCTCAGGCGGATGGAAAGCTTCCCTGTAGGTCTGGATGAGTTTCAGGATGCAGGAAATAGTTTTATCTGCTATGACATTGTGACGGTGTTGATGGTCAGTCCATTAAACTCGGTCCAGAAGGAGAATTGAAGGGAAAATTATTTTTTTCTGACCGTTTCCCTTCGGAATTCTTCATTGTGTGGCCTCAATTTAAAATTTAATATTTTCTACAGCTCGGTTCAAAGGCGTTACGCAGCATTTATTCTGCTTTTGACATCAACCCAAGGCTCCATGACTAGCCGAGTCAACCAGCCAAACTCGGCCGCTTCTCTCTGAGCTGCAGACGGCAGGTGATTTGGAGTCAGCGGAGAGAACCGCTGTACCTCCTCACTGCGCCAAGTTTCCTGCGTAAAAATCCAAACGCGAATTAATTCCACTGTTTTCAGAGCTGCCTTCTCATCATCTTCCTCATTTCCCTCTCAGACTCCGAGGCGAGTCCCGGCTCGGACGGAGAAGGTCTGGCCGAGAGAACGTCGTGCTCCTTCGGCTCACCTGACGACCTGGCTCCCGGCCCCTGCGAGCCTTCGCCCCCGGCCTCCATGGAGGAGATCCAGGTGGAGCTGCAGTGCGCAGACCTTTGGAAGCGTTTCCATGACATCGGGACAGAGATGATCATCACTAAGGCGGGAAGGTAGGCCGGAAACACAGTCACACACATACATCAGCTGAAGGCCTACGTGCAGCTCTGTAAAGGGCATGGCGCAGACAGACTGTGCGTAAAAGTCCGTTTGTGAACTTTTAAGCACCAAAAAACAGTTCCAAACATCAACAATAGTTACTTATCATTTTCATTAAGTCGAAATACAAAAATATGAGGTGAGTTGAGACAATTTAGGGACAAGTCATCACACAACAATGAACAACTTTACGGAATATGCAGACACAAAGTCAAACGCACATGCGTAATTTTAAAGGAAACACAATTCAGTTACAGTTACAGCTACATGCACACACACAGTCACACTCACACACACCTCTGTGCTGTGATGGAGGGTGTTAATGTGTTGCACATGCAGGCCGCTGTGTCGTGTTCAGGCCGTCGTGACGCGGCAGGTTATTCCTGATGATGTCTGAGAATAAGGAGAGCTGGATTTAATCAATCGCTCTGTTCCGGGGTTTTTCTCACTCGGTCTCTCGAGCCAACAGTCCAAACAAAGAGAGCGAGAGCAGAAGTTGACCTGTGGATCCTACAGGAAAGACCTTTCCCCGCGCTCAGCTGCGCTCCCCGCGATTTACATTTCCCTCCTCTGCTCACATCTGTCCGCATGGCTTGTTTTCAGCTTTGCTTCAGCTTTACGGCAAAGACCCCCTCGTAACAAGATCTTTATCATCGTTTATAGCCTTTCAAAGCGGTTATTTCTTTTATAAATAGAATATAAAGTATTAGTGATCAGAGATTATCTTTTAATTTCAAATTGAAGTGATCTTTTTGAAGAGAAATCTACGATGGAGAAAACGTGGAGTAATGCAAACGCAGTGCAGCAACCTTTTCAAACGTGTTGTACTGCAGTCTGAAGTCATGAATCATTAATGTCATCTAAACAAACTTTTTGGTCAATAATAAGGCAAGTTAAGGCACCTGCAATAATACAAATACATATTATTAAATTGACTTTTCCTTTACTTTTGAAAGTGCAATGACCTTTATATGGAGTTCATGAAAAAATGACAGAAAAATAATAAGTGAGATCAAAAAGTAAGTTATTTTTAGTTCCATAAAAACGTAAGTAAGAATTAAATGTATTTAAACATATACATATATTTTTTAACCAGAACAGCTTGGTTTGTAATCTAAAAATCTTTTTTTTGTTATTATTATTTTTTTACATTCCCCCTTCATTCTCTGCTCCACTTTAAGATTACAGTCAGCTCTCTTGCCTCTGTCCTCTTCTCCTTATGGACTCCACTCTGCTGCTTTTTATGAATTGGCTCTAAATTGGTAATCGGCCCATAAACGATCATTTCTGCGCTGGAGCAGAGTTGAGGCGGACACGACCGTGACCGTGTGTGTACTTCACGGCCTGCTCGTAATAAAACCATATATCTAGCAGCGGAGGGAAGCAGGAGAACAGTCTTCTGTTTTCATTAGATTTACGACTTTTAAATGAAAAGCGAAAAATGCTGCGTTTGATGTGCAAGACGAGGAATTAAGTCAAAATGTCTCCCTCTTCAGTTCATGCAGAATCCCCCTTTTTTAGACTTTAATTCAAGTCTGGAGTTTAGAGCTGAGGTTTCGGAATGGGTGGAGCTGGTTGCTATAAATATGTCAATGATAAAAAAATAATGACATATAAATATTTTCCAGTCTGAATATTAAAAGTGGGCCCTTACTGATAAAAAAAAGAAGAGAAGAAAAACGGAGGAAAATCCCACAATGTCTTGAATGCAAAGATCACAGGTCACAACTGGAACACAGTGTTTCCATAAGATGAAAAGCAACATTCAGGGACAAATGGACATTTTTTAAATGCCATCGCAACGTCAAAACATCCAGAACAATGACAAAAAGGGATATATCTGATTTTTAACAAAACACATCTGACCCTATGTCTCTAAACGACTGAATTCTGATTCTCCAAAAAATAAATCCATCTCCTTGAAATCAAATGAAGGAAAAACAAGCTAAGAGGAGGCTTTGACTTTAGGAGTGACATGATTGGATGCAGTTGTTGTTAAAAGAGCCAATCGCAGTAGGTGTGAAACTGTAGGCCAAAAAACATGCATTAAAAAACAACCACTGATGCAGAATCTATGAGTTGAAAGTTTAGAATAAGTTTGTTAATGTCTGTAGAAACCTCTCTTTTATTGAACTGTCTAAAACATGAAGGCTGTGTCAGTTTGGTTTACTCGATGCTGCACAAACATCACAGTGTTCACATCCTTTGGGGGCCGTTTGAGTGAAAGACGAGGACTATTTAAGAGAGTTTTGCTCGAGTAGGAAAAACATGCAGATGATGTACACGACTGATTTCAAAATCCAAGTTAGATTTTAAATAACTGACCTTTGTGTCTCCTGTTATTGAGACACATTTGACACATAGAAAAACACATCACCTGTTAGTGACAGTATGTGGATGTGCTTTTCTGTTGATCGTACAGACATTCATCGTGATCAACAGAAACATCACATCTTAATAAAACCCCGGCTCACTTAGAGAAGTGAGTCTGTAGGCCGGGCAGCATCCTTTAAATGAAGTCACCTCATGCAGAGCGTCTACATGGAAGTATTTTTAATCAGTACAAATTACTTTGTTATGAACTTTATGAATTCATTTTTGTTGAAAACATCAGCCATGTGCAACCCGTCTGCCGTTTAGTTATTTACCCTTTCAAAGTTCAAGAGCTCTTATTGTACCAATTTTTTTTTTTAAACAGCATATGTCTGCCTGTGTTTACTCAAGTCAAAGAACTGTACAGCAGCAAGATGGGAGTCTTGTCCGGCAGTCATTTCAAAGTAGATGAACACATATTTTAAATTATTGTACAATTATGAAAAAAAAAATCAGATATTCAATTTAAATTGAACTTTTTTTAAAATTATTTTGGGGCTTTTTATGTCTTTGATTTAGAGATAGGACAGTGGATAGAGTCAGAAACTGGAGAGAGAGAGAGAGAGAGAGAGAGAGTGGGTAACGATATGGGGAAAGGAGCCACAGGTCGGATTCGAACCCTGGGATGCCTGCTTGGAGGACCCTGGCCTCTGTACATGGGACACACACACTAACCACCAGGCTACTGCTGTCCCTTTAAGTAACTTTTTAAGGATTTAGTGCTCGTATGTCAAATATGTTGATGAGAAATAAATCCCTCATCTAGAGAAGTTTTCTCCTTGGTCACAGCTGCAGAAAACCAACAGAACATCTTAGTCAGCATGTTATAAAGGTGTTATTGTTTCAACCTAATGGTGAACTTTATCCCACTGCTACCTCAGAACTTTTACTTCTGTAATTTCTTAATTGACTTAAAACAAAGAAAGGGACAAAAGAGATTCAGCTCCATTCATCAGTGTGTATTTGTCCACTTTCAGGAGGATGTTTCCTGCCATGAGAGTGAAGATCGCAGGTCTGGACCCTCATCAGCAGTATTACATCGCCATGGACATCGTGCCCGTGGACAACAAGAGATACAGGTACCCTCCTCACACACTTCAACACATGAACAGCTGCCCTAGCACTCAAAAAAGCAGAACAACTCAGCATTTGATCTGCTGTCTTTGCACATGTTATTTGCATTTTGCTTCCTTTCCAAATGCAAAAAAAAAAGCTTCCAGAGTTTCCTTCAAGCTGCTGCGAGACCAAGATGATTTCATTCCTCCGGGTTTCAGCGGGGAGATAAATGTCCCACGGCGGTTGAAATGCTGTTTCTGATGCTTTTCAGACATGACAGGAATGAAATAGCAGAGAGATCGCTGAGTAATCGTGTTGCTTTTCGAAAGGAATGAAGGAATGTCACATACACCGACAGATGCTGCACAGAGGAACAGCTTTCAGCCACTTCAGCTTTGTGCAGAAAAATCATCTGAGCGAGAACACAGCTGAACATAATATGCACCAGCACAGTCGTATCCCTCTACAGCTGGACACAGAACTTCATTTTCCTGGATGCATCTAAAAAAATCGAGCCGAGTATAAACATATTGACCTAGTTGGATCGGTTTTATCTCGGTGTCATTTCTCATCTTTGAGTCTTCCTAACAGGATTTGGACTAAAGCAAAAAAATATTCCAGCCCTCTTTTGTCATTTTTCTCATAACTGCTGCGAGACATGTTTCTGTCTTCTTCTTTGCTTTTGGAAGGGTAGTTCCTCCCGTCATTTGCATGAGTGAAGAGAAGTGAAAGTGATTAAAGCGTGCATGAGCTGGAGGCCGCCTCGTTTGTGATGGATCTCTCTGGATATGCAATAAGACCGACATCCTGGCCCTGCACAAAAACAGTCCCTGAAGTCAGAGCCAGAGAGAGGAGATTGAAATGTATTCATCATCCCACTGAGGCCGCCTGCAAATAGGATAACTCTCAACATTCAGGTCTGATGCTGGGAATATGAAAAAAAAGAGGTAGAGATGGAAAGAAAATGTGAGATGTGGCTGCAGGGGAAGTTTTATAGAGTTTCTTTTATGGCCTAACAGAAAGTTTACTGGTATTATGACAGAAATAAGGAAGAGGGATGAAGACGATTAGAGACATACATGAAGTTTATCTACTTTTTCAGTGTCTGCATCTTGTTTTATAGATTCTGATGTGAACACAGGCTGTGAGATGAAGTGGTGATTATGTAAATAGCACAGAGCCAGCCTCGGTGCATTTGAAAAAGGAGTCTTACCAGTTAGTGTATGCTGCTGTTTGTGTACCAAAGCTGCTTGTTGACTACTTTTGTTCTCTGTTGGCTGAAATTCTTCTGACCGATCTTTCTGATTTGACTCAGAAAGTCTGGGAAGAACTATTTTGACAATCACAGGAGCGTGTCCCATGTTGCAGAAAGTGAGATTTCCTTGTCTTTTAAAATTCTCGAGCAGGTCCAGGTGATGCATCAACACTGTGAAAGTGTCATGATGTAATCCAGTTGGAGAAATGCACAAAGTGTGGTTCAAGAGGAGGCGTCAGGGCTGTGTCCACAGGAGCGGTCCTGAATCCAAAGGAAACTAAATTGGTCATTACAAGACTGAACAAAGGCCCTCGCTCTCCGCCTGACTCTCTACAAGAACATGACTGCATACACAGGCCCCTGATTTGTAGAGTGAATTGAAGTGTGTGCATCCATGAAAAACTCTTCAGCTGTCCACGCGTGTATGATGAAAACCTTTACAGGCAGCTTACACATATAAATATTCATTTCTTAAAGGCTCTGTTATCTATCAATCAGCAGGCACATTAAAGTTTGTCTAACAGGATGAAAGAGTGCATTTGTTTCAATAATTTAGCCAAGTAATGACAAATCGTCTCTAAAAGACATGTTTGTCTTAAAATTACAAGAAATATAATTCACCATAAATATCTGCATATAGTCGAGTTGTTTGTGAATCAGCAGAGTTTTAAAGGCCTACATGGTATAAATTAGTATTTTAAAGCAGAAAATCTAATCACAGTCATGTTTGCTATGAGTTAGTTTAGTCTGCATGCATTTCTTTCCAAAGTCAAAGTCAACTTTATTGTTGATTTTTTTGTCATACATACTGGAGATACAGAAAAATATTTTATCCCTACGAACCATGGTGCAAAACTAGAAGTATAAAAAATACAAAATGTATCAAATACAGGTATACACAAATACCAAGATAATGTGCAAAAAGAGGTGCATTCGAGACAACAGCGACAACCAATGTGCATGGACTTGGAACTAAACATAAATAAATATTAGGCACTAACTTAGTGAGAGAGATGTTGTTTATTTTGCCGAGCAGACTTTTGATTAAAATCTAAACGAGCCAAAGATTTATACCCTGATCCTGTGCAAAACAAAACCGTTCATCGCTGAGAGAGGAGCAGAAAAACTCCTCCCTTCAAGTCAAGTTTAGTCACATCTGATTAAAAACAAAAAGTGGAAGAACAAATAAATCGTGCATGAAAACAAACAGTAAATAACGTCTGTGACTCCTGCGGTTCGACCTAAGCCTCCTCTGTCCTTCTTCTCACATCAGACTTCATTACTGTAAAACGTTCCACCCGAGTGTAGCAGACGTGTACGTTACCGCCTTTTCCTGCTCCCCCACCAGTGAACCAGCACATCATGGCGGCTTTTTAGAGGCCAGAAGGTCTTGTAAAATTAAATAGGATTTTCTTCCTGGCTGGGGAGTTTACCGCAGGGCTTTGCAGACTGATCTGGGATCTGTCACTGGTGTGTGTGTCACAGTCTTGGGGAGTTTGGGGGTCTGGAAACAAGCTCTTTATTGGAGTCGACTTCTCTTTACTCGGGCTGCCTGCCTCTGTTTAGGAACGTCTCGCTGGTACCACACTTATTAAGCCTCCATATTTCACTCGTTCTTTTATGTGGACAGTGGCTCTCTGAGTGTGGAGCGAGTCTGCCTCCCTAAACCTCAGTTCCTCACCCGAGTCTGCAGCTCTTCTCTAACACACACTTTCAGGTTACCACACCTTCAAAAGTGTGAAAACACACACACCTTTGTAAGCATTAATGCTGGTGTTTCATGTATTTATACCTTAATCTAAAGAATTTGATTTAAAATTTGAACGTTGTAGAAGTATGGGCTGAAAAATGATGTATCATATTCATATTGTCTCGTCTGTGTTGAGTCAGGTTTTTAATATGATTTTAATTGGGTCTGATTTCACTCTTGAGGTTTTAATTGTGTCATTCTGTCTGCTCCTGCTGCAAAACAAATCCCCCTTGTGGCCGGGTAAAGATAATATAATATATCTGAATACACAATGCTATGGTTATTCCTGAAGCCTCTCCGTCTAACTTGACTTTAGGTCTGGAAATGTAGCCGTAAACTCTGAATACAAATGGAGCTCAGACGCACTAAATCAAACCCAAACTCTTAAACTAAGTCGTACTGTATTGTGAACCCCTCCCTCTCCAACTGTTAGCTCTGCCACCACGTTGGAGAAGAGAGATAAACCCCACTCACTCAGGTAAACTGAGTCTTGGTACTCAGGTAAAACAGAGAGTCATTGCAAGAGTACGACAAACGTTCACACCGAAGAAAAGTCTTTCTCAAGCCTAAAAAGATAAACGCAACAACAGAATCAACACTTTGAGATGCACATCATTTCTTGAGATTGTGTGCAGAATCTTGTTTAGATGTTTATTGGCAGAAATATGCTGCTGTCTCTGTCCCTGATAGTGAAACAAGACGTGAGGAGCTCGGAAGAGAGCAGTTGATTTAATCTGAAAACCTGCTCTGAAAGTCACCTGCTAGGCCTTTAAATTAATAAACAAAAACAAGCCTAAAAGTATGTATGTTACTATACCTGTGAGGAAAATCATTAAGTACTGTTGATTAACCTGAACGTGTTTTAAACCAACATGCTTTCACTGATTCTCACCTTCTTATTGCGCTTGTTACATGTAGAGGAGAGGACGCGTCATAATTCCTTGAAGACATTTGGTCCTCATAAGTATAGGAATTTGAGAAAATACACATGCTAACATGGACATTCTCACACACAAACACACACACACTGATTGTAATTTAAAAATATTTACTCTGTCAGTACAGTAACCTAATATTCATGCTGGGTTTGGCAAGTGTGTAAACGTGTGTGTGTTTGTGTGTTTATGTGTGCATGCCTGTCTGTGTATACTATATGTGTGATGAGCACACCTACACACACCTACATGCACACACTCAAACATGAATCGACGACCTGTGACCTCTATGTGTGTCTCATTTGTGTTAAGTCCTTGTTTTCAAATTGTGATAAAAAGAAATGAGTGTGTTGCACTCTGGGTTTGTCAGCTGTGTGTTTTGTTGTTGGCTGAGAAGGGAAAAGTCCCCCCCCCCCCTTCCTCCTCTCGCCCCCGTCTGTCCAGTCAGAGTGTCACATAAAGTCCAGTCTTTATTGATCGTGCTGGAGCCAGATGGCAGATTTATAGAAGATGAAAGCTGGGGGGGACTAATCAGATTTCCAGTCCTGTTTGGGGCTAAAGTTTCCTCGTTCTTTAACACTTTCCCCGCTACACAGAGCGTAACCCTAAACAGCATTCCAAACAGGAAATTACACAAACGCCTGGCACCCCCTTTGTGGGTGGATGTGTCGAGGTCAAAAGGGCGGTGTGTGGAGGTGTTTGCTTGGCGTTAGATAGAGTAATCAGGAACAGGTAGTCAAAGCTGCAGTGTGAAGTTTTTTGGACATAGAAAAAGAGAATCTGAAGATAACAGCCCTCCTCCTGCAGTTTATAAATCTGACGAGTAATGCAATGTAGTTTGTACATAACCGATGTTAATATGAGACACTTTCAAGGTCTGAGGCAGAGGGAGGGAGACAGGAAGTGTGGTTTAAGGAGGGGGGAAGAGTTGAATCATTTAGGACGTTCACTCAGGAGACAAACAAGTCACGAAGATTTCAGGGGCAGCCAATACTGAAATTTTCTAGAAACTTCCAGGCGTGCATTCGTGAAAAAAAAGCTTTAGTTATTTATTTCCACCTTTCAACATCCCAGACTTTCTCTCTTCGAGCTCCTTGCCACACTTGAGCAAGAGTTACTCTCTTGCTCTGCTTTCGCTCTTCTTTCTTGTTGGCTTCCTCGGTCGACCACCTTCTAGTTTCATCATGATGTGCTGAGTGACCATCTTGAAACCTGTGCCACAAAACACTTCCCAGTTTTGCAAAAATGTGTACCCCCTCAACCCTTGTTTTTAAAGTTTTCACACAGATGTTTTGGTGGGAAAGGAGTTCCATCTTCCCTATGAGAAGGGAAGTTGGTCGACCTCCAAATGATTTTTGAGACGATATTTCAGGTTTCATTGTTGCATAAAGTCAGCCTGGGCAAGGGGAAGGACTTGAGCAAATATTCAGCAAAAATAAATGGTTAAACGAGGTAGATCTGTAATGAAATGCCAAATTACAAACACGCCAAACTGTTCAGTCATATAGAACTGCCTTTACATTCTATATGGCTTTGTGTTTCCGCCAACATCCCTTCAAGCACCCCTCATTCTTTTTAATTATATATGTGTAATTGTGCGAGCTGTATTTTTTGTGGCACAGAAAGGCGGGGTGTGTGCTGTGTGTATTTTTTGCTTTTTATTTGAATGTAATTATACACACCGTATAGTGTGTGTGCATGTGTGTGTCAGAGAGAGAGTGTGAAATGGGCCGGTGCAGCTCTTGCTTGGAGGCAATAACAAAAGGACCAAATGAGAGTTTTGTCCATGTTTCAGGAGTGAGTGATGACTTTGGCAGAGACGCAGCAGATAAAACACTTTCAAGTGAGCGCGCAGGCCAGAACTAAAGGCAAACAGCTGTGCTTCACACTCGCTCTCCTTCACTTATTCTCAACCTCGCTCGTCCTCCCATTCTCCTCTTCCTCACACTGTACCTCTCTTGACTGACTTTATATGACTTATTATCTCCGTCTTGATCTCTCGTACTGACTTTCTCTGCCCGCCCTTTTCTTCTCCTCTTTGTCCTTTCTTTTCTTCAGTTTTTATTTCCCCGTTTCTCCCTCCCTCCCTTTCTTTATTTTTAGTTTCTTTTATTTTTATAACGCTGCATACATTTTTTGGCTGGTGGTTTGTGGACTTCTTTTTTAAAGGGAGGGTATAAAAGTCGATGTCTTTCTTTCTTCTCCCCCCCCCCTGCTGTTTAATGAGTGGGACGTATCGGCGTACCCAAACTCACACACAACATCATCAAGTATTATGGCTGGGTTTAATTGAAACTGTGCAGCCGAGTGAGTGTGACTGCATATGGAATAATTTATGTTGCCCTTGTTAGAAATTTCAAGCACAATGAAAAAACAACGGATGACTTTAAAAAGGCCGTGTTGTGGCAACGCGGCAGAGTGTTTGGAGTTTGTTTTGCAGCGCAGAGGCGCTCCAGCTTTTCTGAAATCCAAACAGCTTTTATAATGACCCATTGAACCCTGAAGTAACCTCAGAGACTCAAATGAGTTTTCAAAAACAGAGAGGAGGGATGAGGGAACATTAATCCAGGAGATTGCTCTAAACTGCTGTGGAATCAAAACATGGTGAGCAGAATCACACAAGTGAGCACCAAATGCAAAAAAGGAATGCATCGTGCTGTTGCAAATTAGCATCAGCACAGTTCTTCTGGATAATGAATAAGAAAGATGAACCTGGTCTTCTCTTTAATGAACCCTCAGTGCTTTTGATTTAAATGAAATCTTGATGGCATTGGAAACCTCGATGTCCTTTTGAGAATAAATAATGAATCAAATAAATTCTGTGCTGACAAATGCATGCAGGTTTTTAATTTATATCAACAGATATATGCATTTCAATGCACAATGCAATGGGCGCAGATGGCCTCGCAGTTAGGTTGCGTCCCATGCATGGAAGCTATCCTTTTCCGGGCGGGGGACCCGGGTTCAAATGCGAGCTGCAGCTCCTTTCCTGTGTGTCATTCCCCACTCTCTTCCTGGTTTCCTACTCTATCCACTGTCCTATCAAATAAGACATAAAAGCCCCAAAATATTTTATCTTAAACAATTGAATACACAGTCTGTAGGGTCAGGACTAGATGTCAGAGCTGGTTTTCATCCGTACAAAGTTAATTATCTCAACTGAGCAGGCTCTGGTTGCACACAGGGTCACCTCCTGTGTGCTGCACGAACGGGAGGGGGGAGCTTTGGCCACAGTGCAATCAGTGAACTCATTGGCCATCAGTTGATGACGACTCCGCTTGTAATTCATCTGTGTGGATGCAGATCACACTCCGGCTGCAGACTGTTGATCAACTCCAACGCATTTCTCCCGTCTAAAGTTTTACTGACTGTAAAAAATGTCAAAAAGACGGAAAAGGAGGTGTGACCCAGAGCTCCATAATCAGTCATTAGAATATGTGTTAGCTATGAGAAATCCTAACCACTGTGTATGCTTATGAAAAAATCACCCTCTGGTTACTCATCTAAACCCACAAAACACAAATAAAAACTGACAAAATGTGTGGAATGAAAAGTTTTGTCATTTTGATTTGAAGCACGAGGAAGTCCTGTCCTTTGTGTTTTGCATATGTTTCTGGTGCATTTTTATTTTTTGAAGAAGTTGTCAGTACTCAAAATGTAGATATTAACTCAACAAAATGTGCTGGAAGAATCTTGTTGCATGTTTAACTTGTTTTAATACGACGACTACTCGTCACTCCCGTGCTGAGTTGCTTTGATAACTGATTGTTCTGTCCTCAGAGTATCTTCAGGTTTAAAGGTTATATTACCTCGCTTCAGTTCTTGTTGGTGCTCAAACTAGTTTCCCCTCGTCTCGTCTTTCAGGTACGTGTATCACAGCTCCAAATGGATGGTGGCAGGAAACGCTGACTCCCCGGTGCCTCCGCGGGCTTACATCCACCCGGACTCTCTGGCCTCAGGAGACACCTGGATGAGACAGGTGGTCAGCTTCGACAAACTCAAACTGACCAACAACGAGCTGGACGACCAGGGACACGTAAGAGACCTTTTACTCCTCATCATGTTGCTGCTGAATGTTTGCACAGAAACTGATGCCCACATGTTTTATTACAGTGAATCCATCAGATTAAAAGTTGTTTTATTGTCTCAGGGGGCCACACAGTTCTCAGATACAGTAAAAAACAACAACAACACATTCATACATCGACTACACATGCTAATCATCGTGCAGTTTCACCCATAGTAAATATTATTCTAGAGAAGATTTAAGACCGTGTTCAGATTCAAAGCATTCTCCACTGTCCTCTGCCTTCAGATATCTCAATTAGCTTGAGGGTTAGCATGTAAAGCATAGAGTGCGTACTTAACGGTATGTTTCTTTATAGGTGAATCAGAAGGACCAGTAGTGACCACCTGAAAGACAGCAGATCGCCACCTACTGTAGCGGAGTCAGAAATACTAAATTAATTCTCTCCCCCGGTGCTTGTATACTGGGACAAGAACAGTACTCCAATTAAATGTTGTCACAACCCAAACAATAATTTATTGAAAGGAGGGAAAACATCCGAATAAAAGAATATGTGGTCTATAAATCATTGGTTATTACAATGCTGAATGTCTGTGTCTGTGTGTGTGGTGTTGTCGAGGCAAAACAAGACAACAAACCGAGAGAGAGAGAGAGAGAGAGAGAGAGAGAGAGAGAGAGAGAGACCTTAGAAACCAAGGTCCAGCTCTCCCAAGTGCATGAAATCAAATTAACTGGCTCCGCCCCTCTCCCTGAAAGCAACAGTCAGAGGTCGTCACATCGCTCTAGCTAGTTCACGGACTGTCCGTTTGAGGCTGGCTGCAGGAATACCCCAGCCAGCCTAAGTCACACACACACGACATTCGAAAAACCAGGCAGATGTTTACAGCCTGGTGTACGGGGGTTTTTATTTTATAAACGACACGTGTTATCCTTAGTAAGGCGCGTAGCTGACATGATTGACAGGTGGGAGCGATATAATGGTTTCTCAGGAGGCTTCAAACCCGCCTCAGCTCCAGCTCTCAGCCTGTCATTAGGCTGACTTAAAGTTGGGCTGAGACAGCATTTCCAACATGGCGGCTGCTGCCAATGAGCCTCCCTGCAGTAAGAGATGGCTGACATCACTCAGGCTTCATCCATTCATATTTGCAGACTGTTCTCCAAAAAAGACATGTTTTGCGACGGCCTCTTGTAGACTTATATATTCTGATTGGACTAAAGGGGGAAGTTAGATGATGTTAGAAAATTAAATTCAGTGTAGTAAAGCGTTTGGGATGATGGGATTATTAAACTATCGCTCATGTACCATATGAAATAAAAAGGTCATCATGATGTGATGGTTTAAATTGGTGTCGCTGGGTTTATGCACTTGATCATGACACATTTTCAACCCACATTCTGAATCCAACAGAGATGATAAAAACAGTTTAGGTTTAAATATTTCAAGCTGCAGCTCATTAGTTTCCCTTTATTCTCTGTTTTCACGGCCTTTTTACGCTTCACTTCTGGATCTGCGAGGAAGTCTTTGGACAGAAATGTTTCTGAAGCGTCTCTTTGAAAGGGTGAAATTTGACTCAGCTCTTGGTGGACTCGATGCTCTCATGGAGCCGTGAGACTTGCTCAGAATTGATTTTCTGCAGAACTTGCCGGTCCTGCTTTGCCAAACGCTGCCCTCCCACACTGTGAGCGCTTCACTTTTGAAGACGGCTCATCCCGATTGAGGATTATTAGGTTTGAGGATTACTGTGGAGAAATTGGAGGCCTGGGATTTGAACCTCTGGCCCTTAGTTTTAATGTATTATATTCATTTCCCTTCATGGCTCCGTGAAGCATTTTGTAATGAAACGGTTTCGTTAAAGGCACTTAATGATTGGATTTGATTTGTAGTACGCTCCAGCAGCCACACCACAGGGCTAAAACTCACGTCTGACCACAATCTGCCTGATTTACTGCCTCGCTCGTAGCCGGTCGGTAACAGAGGTGGTTAGCTAAAGTAAGTCTCTTATTGGTTCTTGGCTGCTCTACATGTTTAATGTGGCTTTCATAGGTGAAATATTTAACTGTAATGCAACAAGTTTGACCACAATTTGTCTGATTTACTGCCTTCCCTTATGTTTAATCAGCAAGCGGGCGGCACGCTAAAGTGAGTCCCTCATTTGCACTTTTAATGGGTTTCATGGGAAAGGGACAATTTTAGGTGGAAGGAAAACTGTGTTAACTTTTCATTATGAGCTTTATTTGACCCGTAGGGATGAACCTGCAATGACTGCTCTGAAAGCAATCACCCAACTTTTCTTATACTCAAATGCAAAACTGAACAGTGACGACTGAGGTTGTCACCATACCGAAGTTTAAAACCTTGAAACAATACGAGGGAATACCAAACGTTAATACCTGTTTCTATACAACGGCAAGAAAAATGGAAGTCCTAGGTAACAAATATTGAGTAATTACTTGTTTTTAAAGACCAAAAATTGCACAAAAACATAAAACTTTTCTGTATTTTTGTAAATACAGCTCCATGATTTCAGAGTTTCTATCAACTGTCCTGTCTCTCTATAAAGACATACAAAATAAATCTTTGGAAAAAATGAATCGCAAAGCTTATGTTAGCTTATAATCAAGTTATTTTTACTCCTTACTCTGACTGAAGTGGACATGAATTATGTGCTAATGGTGATTTTCATAATGAGAAAAGAATGCGCTCTCGGCAAGAAAAACCCTGCATGTGTGCAAAAGTAGCTTTTAACATAAGTAAAAAACTACAACTCCATCCTCCTCATAAATTTAAGCTCTCTTTGAATTTTAGCCTTTGTGGAAATCAGAGCAGATTGAATTCAAATCCAGGCCAGTGAGAACTCTGTGTCCTTTGATTAGCTGATGTGGAGTTGCTTCAAACAGCAGATGATCCGCTCTCTTTTTTAAAGTCACATAATCTGAACGTGGAATCAGCTGGAGACGGCTCAGTGCCTCCTGTTATGACTGTCAGAGCGCTTCAGCGGAGGCTCATTTGACGGCTGTGGTCTGGGAGGCTGATGAAAGACTTTGAGGAGCTGTTACAAATCAATTTCTGCTCCGAGGTTCACCATTACTGCCGAGCTGCCAGGTGGTGTGATGGTTTTTTAGTGATGATTCCTATGCTGTAACAAAGAAGGGCAGTGACCAGTTATGGCAGGTTCATACTCTGTCACAGCTCTGCAGATGATCACATCAGCTCAGTGGTGACAAATATAATCACCCATGGGTGTAAGTGGGCGAGGACTCTAACTGAAACAGGGAGGTTATCTTTCCTCTCCTGCTGCTCTATTTTTTAGACTTTCTTTCCCTCGAGGGACTTTAGAGGCCAAAGGAAAATTAATTTCGGAGCTTCCTGTGTGTTTGACGTCGCCTCGTCTCCCTCGTCCTCCTGACTTGTGGTCTCATAAAGTATCTGCCTCATCAGAAGCAGACTACATACATGTCATAAATCATCAGACGTCAGGGCGCACAACAGAAGCAGAGTCGGAAATAAATAAAAAAGAAAATGTATTACACAATGTCATCCAAACTGGTAAACAAACACAGCCTCCACAGCATTTGTAATTTAGTGATTAGACTTGCAGGCTTCTAATTTTTCTGATAAAATGACCTTACTTTATGATCAGACATTAAGGAAACATGCTATGTGTTGAAGTGCTAGCTTCTCTGACAACAATGCAGCAGCCAGGCTTCTGTTGAATACCAACCCAGCTGCTTTGGTCTGATATTTAAGAAGAATGTGATTTGTTTTGCTGCAGGAAACATTTTCTCAGAAGAAGCTTTGAACAAAATCAAATGGTTTGATGTGTACAGGAAACATGCTCCAAAGCTTTAAGAGCGTTTGAGTCTTCAGGACGCCTCACTGCCCGTCTGGACTCATCGGCCTCGAGGGTTCAGACCCGCCTCGCGCTGTCACTCTCGCCTGTCGTTTTCTTCCTGTCTCTCCTCGCTGGTCTCTGGGAAAAGCTAATAAAACATCGAAGCTCGCTTGGACCAGCCAAGAGATTTTTTTTTTCTTGTTTGGACCCTCTTTTCCTTTGTTACTAATGATCCGTTTCTTTGGAACAAACTTTTTGCTGTTGTGTGAAATCGTTCAGAGCAAAGAGTCTGTTTTAAATGTTTACCCTCTTGTATTCAATCTCATTACTTTGGCCTTTGAGAGATGAACGGTTTTCACATCACATCAGCATGTTTTGTGATGCATTATCCTCGTTGTTTTTGGCGGTTTTTCAGTCCGTGTGGTTTGATTTGACTTTGTAAAGATCAACTGGACATCTGTTGGCGTACACGCAGGATGTGTTTGTGTCTCTTGGGCGGAAATGTCGATGAAAAGAATGTCATTACCCGCCGTGAAAATGAAAACACCGCTTATTTAGCCTAATTGTATTTGAGTGTGAACAGCGGTCAGCTGAAGTCCTCTGGCTGCTCTCTCGGTCCTTTGTTCTGAGATCAGTGTGTTGATGTGCGATTTGCTTTGTTACATCACCGCAGGACGAGCGGGGACGAGAAGCACGAGTCCTCTGGGTCCTGAGGCAGCGCGTGTGTGTGTGTGTGTGTGTGTGTGTGTGTGTGTGTGTGTGTGTGTGTGTGTGTGTGTGTGTGTGTGTGTGTGTGTGTGTGTGTGTGTCTGTGTGTGTGTGTGTGTAATGAAATCACAAAAAGATGATCCTCATAACAACGTCCTGTCTTTTAAGGTTTATTTCTTTGGCTTTATATGGAGAGAGAGAGAGAGAGAGAGAGAGAATGACATACGGGAAAGCAGCCACAGGTCAGATTCAAACCCAGGCCGCCTGCTCGGAGGACTATAGCCTCCGACAATTGACATGTGCACTAACCACTAGGCTACCGGTGCCCCGTGCCCCATGCGCTGTAAGATTGTATAAAAGCCGTGGTGGAATGTGTGCTCACGCTGCACGACTGACACATTTACAACGCGCTACCGAAGATCACGATTTATGTGCTCACACTCGTTTATGAGTTACATTGAGATGGAACTTTTGAAGTCAGATCTTGTGTGTATTTCAGTTGTCTCATATACACGGCTCATACACACACACACACACACACACACACACACACACACACACACACACACACACACACACACACACACACACACACACACACTCAAAGCTAAAACACAACAAATATTCTGAGGTCTGCAGATATTTCCTGCCAACGTTTCTTTTATCATACACAGGGGAGTACAGATTTAACAGGCATGCCTGTTGTTGCCATGGTGATTGTGGACACTGTGTGTCACTTTTTGTGCAGACACAATCAGGAAGAAAGTCAAATCTAGGCATCATTTTACCTGCAAATAACACCTCTCAAATATACAGTGATTTACGTCTGCATGATGCGTCTGTGTGCGTCCGTTCAGCCACCCAGTCATAATTTGTATTTATTTATTTCACATGATCTTCACTGTTCTCCCTGCAGCCCTGGTTTGAAATGACCTCCTCTGTTGTAGCAGATTTAGGGGAGAGGTTGAGTGTGTTTGGCTCTGTGTCGGTTTTTCTCACTCTCGGATTAATCAAGAGCAGGCCGAAGCCCCGAGGCGATGCAGGGGCCGACAGCGTCTGACGCCTCGGCTCTGCTCTGAAATAATCCTCAGCTCCGAGTGTGAACTCGGTTTCCGCTTTATGTCATGTAGCACAGAATGAGGGAAGCTAAATTATGTTGCAAAGCAGCAGGGCTGTTTATCATGAATGTATAAGTTTAGAAACAAACTTCACAGATTCACATAAAGACTAAGCCTAGAGTAAAGTTGTGGAGGGGTCGTTTATCAAATTATGTCATAACTCCTAATTATTTACATCTTTACCCTGAAGTTATCAATGAAACCTGATCCTCTGAGGTCTTTCTGTTTTCTTTAAAAGGAATACCATTTTCCACTCTCTTCATGCCTTTTCTGGTTGATTATTTATGAAAAGCAAAAACAGATTCATACAAATTGAGACTGTTTGATTCCGCCTGCAGTGAAAACAAATTCAAAGGGATTAAAGATGGTGACGACAGGACGAATGTTCTCAATTTGGAACACGTCCCTCATAATTGTGCTTATTTTTAAAAGTCTTCTAGAAAGCATAAAACCCTCAAACACACTCACACACAGTTGCAGATGCAGATAAAGAGACACGCATGTTTCGCTTTGTTGTGCTTTTTTTCTCCCCCCTTTGGATCACATTTTCCTCAGACATCAAACCAACTTCACTTCCTCTGCTTTTCCATTTTCAGATCATCCTGCACTCCATGCACAAGTATCAGCCTCGTGTTCACGTCATCAGGAAGGACTTCAGCAGCGAACTGTCCCCCAACAAATCAGTCCCCAGCGGAGAGGGCGTCAAGACCTTCAGCTTCCCTGAGACCGTCTTCACCACCGTCACCGCCTACCAGAACCAACAGGTACATGCAGCTCTCTGCCTTAATCATCCACCCTTCAAAATATCACTCAGTTGGATGGATGCTAATTAAAAGAATCCTTCCAAATGATTGCAGCACATTGCAATTTTATTTTAAAAGCTGGATTTCTTCGCCTGCAAATAATCTTTCCCATGCACATTTTTATGTCAATATAAAAAAATCAGTTGAACTTTTACAAGCTCTCTTGTAGGACAGAGTTCAATAAACAGCGAATGCCATTTTGTCGAACTTTTCTTCCAACATTTTGCTTCTCAAATTGTCTGTTTTTATTAAACTTTCCAAACAGCAAACATTTCTTATACATGACCCTAAAAAACCATTCAGAAAAAGGGAGGTAATTGGATAATAGCGTTTGGCTTTGTACTCTAATAACCAATGTTAAGATAATGATGTGCAGCTTTGATATTACAAGAATTTATTTTGAAGCTGCACTGAAATGTTGGAGTATTTACTATCAAGGTTGTAAATGTACTTTATTTTGAAATAATAGCTAAAAATGTCCTCTCCATGTTCTTCTTGTCTGCAGATCACCAGACTAAAGATCGACCGCAACCCGTTCGCCAAAGGGTTCAGGGACTCTGGCAGAAACAGGTATGTCATGACAAAAATCTGTTTACCAACTGAGACGCTGAAATATTCAGCCTGTTTCTGTGTTTTCTTATTCTGCCCCACAAAGAATCCGATTTTTTTCTGAGTGCTCTTTAATATGGAAATAATCCTCTGAAGATTTGCACTTAGCTCCAGATGCTGCTCCTTATAAAAACAGCTGCTTTTCTGTTGCCAAGAGGAAAGCCTTCAGATCTGCAGCACACACACACACACACACACACACACACACACACACACACACACACACACACACACACACACACACACACACACACACACACACACACAGAGTCAGTGGATGTAGATGGAGTCAATTGAGCACCTAAACACACCTCTCCATATTCCTCCCATGGTCTCGTTCATCTCATGAAATGTGCATGAACTCTCAAAATGCAAACTTTGCTCTTCAGGCTTGAAAAAGTAGAAACAGTTTTTACAATCTCGTGCTGAACTCTCATCGTTTAGTATCTCTGTAGTCATTGCACACCAACCCTTCATGATGTTGTAACGCAATGGGAAATCACACACTGGGACACTGGTATTAAGCTGTTCTACAAAAAAAAAAACAAGTGATTTTGAAATATTTCATTTATTAGGGGTAAAATGCACATCCAATACAAGAAATATGAGATATGCACAGGAATATGCATATAGGCTCATATATTACTACCCCTTGTAATAAATAGGTAATAAAGATACAAGATAAAAAGAGAAGATTTTAGTCATATAGCCACCTGTAAATACTTTACTTATATTTCTCCCAGGTTCCAATTAATCCATTCAAATGCTGTTAAATCAATTAAACCAATGCTTTCAATCCAGTTACGCCCACTTCAACCTTTACATGTAGACATCTTTGACCTCTGCAAAAAGGACAAGCCTACAAGGTTAATAGCTTTTTTTTTTTTTAATTGCAAGTTTGATACCACTCTGCACATTTCTCTGAAGCAGGAGAGTCATGCAGCATTGATTATTGCTCATTTCAAACAGCAGTCCTAAAGATGCACTGAAACTTAAACCTGTCAATAACATCACATAAAGAGGACTCAACCATCGACCCTGCGGTGTGCACTGTGTATGTGTGACAGCAAAGAGCTCACACACAGCTGCTGCATCGTCTGTCAGTCATTAGATTAATTAATGTAGGAAAAGAAAAAGCTCTCACTGTGTCTTTCTCCCTGCCTCTTTTTCCTTCTGCCCCCCTCTCTCTCTCTCTCTCTCTCTCTCTCTCTCTCTCTCTGTCCTCTAACTGTCTGAATTATCATATATAACATTTGGGGATGGAGGAGGAAGAAGAAGGGGGGTTGTGCCCCTCTGCACATGAAAGCAGCCCCCTCATCTGGTCCGCATTATTGGCACACAGATATTTGAGACATCTTTTTTCGTTTTTCAAACAATGGACTGTTTGATTTACGAACTGGCGTTAGAATTTCATTGCAGAAAAGCTACAGATGAAAAGATAACGGGGAGTGAGATATTTGTCCAGAGAGAGAGAGAAAATTAATCTATCCTCACGTCCTGATCGGGGTTCCTCCCCTCCAGGTTCAGATTCAAAAAGAAGCTGCAGATAACTTAGTGCAAGAACTCGTCTTCTGTCACCTTAAAAAGCCTCCCCTCAGTGGTAAATCAAACTGAACGCTGCGTGTCTGGTGCTGCTTTTTCTCTTTGATCTTTCATGAATATTGATAGTGAGCTGCACCGCCGAGCCTCCATCCTTCTGCTGCTGTTTTGCATAATTATCCTGATTTACAAGTTTAATTTGTCCCTTACTGCAAGTCTCTCTGTGCGAGTGTATCTGCTGAACATAGAGTAACTGCATACCTCTTTATTCAGTGATTGTTTTTGCTCAGCAACAAGGGGTTTGCATGAGCTGACAGAATGACGTTATTGTTTGCTAAACTAGTTTACATTTTTTTAAATCTCCTTTTAAAGAGACGTAAAGCTCTTTATATCCTTGGACTTAATGTGCATAAAATCCTCAATTAAGAAACATCTTCACACTTCTGCAGTCTTAGAGGGGTTTAATTCTATATCAATCTTCCTTTGGATGGATTAGAAGTTGGATCAAATATTTGTCCACCCTGTTTGACAGTGTTACAATCATTTTCCAAACCTGCATAGTCTGCTGAAGGCTCACAACTAGAAAACAAATCTCCCGTTTTGGGATTTTTTTTCATCTTAATCCAAATTAAAGCAAAGTTTGTTGGGAATGATCAATGCCTGTTGTGATTTAAAAACTATAATGTTGAACCAGGATCAACTAGGTTAACATTAAATCTAAATTCTTCAACGGTTGAGGAAACCCAGAACAAGGAGCAGAAAGTGAGAGAAATTACAACAAATGACTTACCATCTATTGAGTGAAATGATAAAGTGACCTTACAGACATTAAAGAAACATGCTATGTTGAAGTGCTGGTATCTCTGAGCAGCAGCCAGTATGTCCTTCTTCTAAGTTTAGATTCTGCTCCTGAATGCCCTGGATTTGTTTGGACCAGAGAAGGTAGGCGGTTTTAAGACACCCCCACACGGCCGTTTTGGACGCCCCTCGGTTTGCCAGATATGAGACCAGTTACTTATAGTGCAGAAAGGTTTACAGACTTATGCAGAGCTGGCTAAACACTGAAGCTTCCCTGTCTGTGACATGGCAATCTGTTTTCCAAGCGCATTGACTCTAGAGAGGAGGGGACGGGGGGGAGACAGCTCTCTCAAATGTTTTGAATTTGGACTGCAGTACCCATTTTAAACTCTAGATAGTCTTTCCTGGAGTAATACTGTATAGCGGGATTTTTCCCAGATTTGCCCTTTTGTAGTCCAATGAGCCAAACGGCTCAAAGTCAAAAGGAGCAGCTGCAGTTGGAAACAAGAAGCAGCAGACATTAAAACCAGGTGTGACATCTTTTGTTTTGGTTTCTCTGCAATGTGTGTCTTATAAACATTACTCAGTTTATATTATTATCGGATATGAGCGACATTAACAGCCATCAAACAACACTAACACACTTTTCTTTGGACTGGAGTGGTAAGGCTGTGGAAAATTACCGGCTAATTCCACATTGAGGGGAAATTTAAAATTAATAGAAAAGGGCAAACCTGCTCTGCTAATTCTCAAATTAAGTGCCAGCTTGTTTTCCTTTTTCTGACTTTAATTGCGTCTTAAAATAGAACTATCCCAGGCTCTAAGTTATGGTGCAGTCGTCAGCTCTGTCTGCTGAGCAGCCTTTATGGCCTGGCGGAGGGATACAGCTCATTTGTTGGGTTTTGGTCCCGCAGCAGTGTGGCCGTATGAATGAGTGCAGTGATGGCGAGGGCCCTGCCGATTAGCGTGGCGCACTAACGAGCTGCCACGGCCGGGGGAGTTAGTGGCCCTAAAATAACACGGTGAGCAGTGACGGGCGCTGGTTTCACCGGGACAGGGCCGAGCGGGGAAGTAAATCAAGCAGGAAGGAAAACCGTGTACAGATTCAAGATGAAACGTCACCCAGATTTATGTGCACAGTTAAAACCTGCTCCTTTTTAATGGCTCCAGTTTCCTCCAAACGGGACTCCAGTTTCTCCCCTCATTCTCTCTCCCTTCTCTCTCTCTCTTTCATATACTCTTATTCGATCTGAGCTCTGATTCACTCTCTCTCACTCTATCATATCACCTCCCAACTTTTAAATACTTTTGCTCTTACTTATATTTTCACTTTCTCTCACCTGTATCCCTCCCTGCTCTTTTGTTAGTCACATGACATTGGTCATATATTTTAATACTATTAATATAAAATGTGCTCTACTTCAATAGCCCAGACAAAAACAGATATTAATTTAGAACAAGGATGACAGAAAATCGGACAAAGCTGTTAACAACCAGGAAGAAAAATGACAAAATATGACATCAGAGAAACTTCAAGTCAAGGTCTGATAAAAAAAATAATACAAATGATGGGGAGAATGGATATTTATCCAATAAAAGTATTTTGTTTTAAGTAAAGATATAATTGAATGTTTTAGTTTTCATGCCAATAAAGATTTGTAAAGTTTGTTAAGTTACTTTTATTTGTAAAGTGACAATTGACAACAGAAGTTTCCTTATAACCCTCACATGTGAAGCAAGTTTTGACCCTCATCTAATAATACAATATAATACAGCCTCAAATTAAGTGTTGTTGTATTCATCTTAAAATATAAGATGTCAGTGGAATTCATCAGATGGTGCAACAGCTTCAGAAGAATGATAAAATAATACTTTATTGATCCCACGAGGGGAAATTCGGGTGTTGCAGCAACAAGAAGACAAGTAGGAGTGGGTAATACAAAATCAAAATCAAAACAGAGTAGATAAGATAAATACAAAAAAAAAAAAGCATATAAACAGTAGAATATAAATAGTGGAGTAAACTATTCAGGCATGAACATGAAACATGGGTGCCGTTTTCTGCAGCTTTCAAAGCTTGTCACTTTTCACATTTCGATTTTGTTCTCAGTGGAAAACAAACATCAATAGCCACAGATAAAGTAACTAATCAGATCAAAGAACACGACTCTCCCAGGTTAAATAATGCTCACCTGTGTGAAGAGCTGAGATAAGTCGTGCCCAGTTTGCTCAAACAGAGATCAGCTGCGAGGAGAATGACCCGATCACAACAGATATACACACACGGGTCTGATTATTCAGGCTTAAAAGAAAAGCAATAGAGTATTAGGAGGAATCATAACGGGGCACTGATGGCCTAGTGGTTAAGTAGTGCCCCTTGTACGGAGGCTATCGTCCTCCACAAGGATGCCCCCGTTTCAAGTCCCGAATGTGGCTGCGTCCTCGCTTGTAATTCCACACCCACTCCCCCAATTTCCTGCTCTATCCACTGTCCTCTCAAATAAAGGCAAAATAAAAAAAATCTTTAAAAAAAACACATGCAGGGGTCATCATGGTCTCTTTTCAGTTTCTATTGTGTTGTGTGTTTGTGTTCTGAAACGTGTGTGTGTGTGTGTGTGTTTCTGTCAGGACTGGGCTGGAGGCGATCATGGAGACTTATGCTTTCTGGAGACCTCCAGTGAGGACCCTCACCTTTGAAGACTTCACCAACATGCAGAAACAGCAAGGTGAGTGAAAACACAATGTCACAGTGGTTTTAATGGACTTTTGTAGCATTTCAAACGCTGATTCATCACTGTATGACAATCTATAAAAGTGGGAGTGGTCTCTGTAGGTTATCATCATGACCTTGGTGTGTGTTCTGTCCCAACCTGAACTCTCCCTCTGCATACTTTCCCTGCATACATCAGCACACGCTGCATCGGCCCTGCTTGTCCTTCGTTTGAGCTTGGCCATTCGTTGCTCCTCTGGCACGTCGGCCCGGCGTCTGCTGAACTTTTCACATCGCGCTCAGCCCTTCTAAATAAAAGTGTTAAACAAACCCTGTGGCCCTTGGACGGCTCAGCGACACGAGTCGTGGCCACCTCCCTTTGTCTCGGCTCCAGGGTCGGCTCAGGGTCTTAGTCATGGCTCATATCAAGGGCCACTGTGCTTTAAAGGAGCCCTGTTTCCTTGCTGACTTGATCTCGGTTACCTCAGCAGGGTCAGCATGACGTGACGCTGCGACTCTGTCCGAGCAGGCACACGTGTTTGTTATCATTAAACTTTTCAAGTGATGAGGATTTAATGAAAGACCTTGCGTCGCCGGTGAACCCTGTATCACCCTAAAAGGACACTGCTGTACATGTGTGTGACTTTATGTGTGTGTGTGTGTGTGTGTGTGTGTGTGTGTGTGTGTGTACATTTTCCCTTAAAGCATCAGGCGTCCTTTTCCCTCCAAGTAATCAACTCTTCCCCCTCGAGCCTTTCTGACTGCAGGAAAACATGACATCACCAAACTCTCATCTTCTCCTCCTTTCTTTTATTTTCTTCTCATATATGTCCACCTTGCTCTCTCCCTCTCCCTCAAACCCTTTCTTTTTACCCCCCCCCCCCCCCCCCGTCTTCTTCTGCAGCCATATTATCGAAGGCATATGGTGCAAAAAAAAACAGAACCCCAGCCAAGCAAGCCCTGGATTATTTAGTTATGCCTCCTCCCCGTTCTTGGTTCAAACTGAATTTCTCCAACGGCAAGATGAACCCCGGCCAAATTCTCATTAATAGAGAAATATGCGATTGATATCCCACAGCTATCATTTCACTCTCGACTTTGAAAGGATACAATTTGTGCCAACAATGCACAACAATTTATTTTTTCTCTGATATATAAAGCCCCTCTCTTCCCCCCTCTGGCTGAATTGGTACAGTATACAGTGGAAGAACTCGGAGTCAGTGGCTTTTATTGAGGGAAGGATTGGGGATGTGGGCTCTGTTGACCAGACGTGGTCAAAAACTGAATCCATATTTATCTCCACATACCAGCACTATAAAGTTCAGTACGATTCATGATGTTGTTTCCAGCAGATTCAGAGAAACAGGTCATAAAATTAGTTTGACAGATGGAGTTTGAAAAGTCCATTTGGATCAGCGGATCATAAATGGAATTGTCAACATGCTAATTAAGGAAGCAAAAATCTGCAAAGTGAACTCACCTGTCTCAGTGCGATTTTTGTATTCTACAAAAAGTAATCCACTATAAGTACTTCATAACTCATGTAACCATGAGCCAATTTGGAGGCCTTACCTGAGGTAGAGGAAGGTGACATAGTATAAAGACTGTCAGGGGTTATGGCTTTCCCTTTTCTTTGCATTTAACCAACCCAAAGCTGTTTTTCAAATATTCACTCCTGAATATTTCTCGAGAATTTCATGCAGGCGGCCGCTGAAATCTTCAAGAGTCAGTTGTGCACACATGCACGTCAAAGCGTCACAGTCTCAGGAGGAAAGATATGACGTAAAAAGAACGATGCAGAAATGGCAGAGAGCAACAGGAGGATGCATGGAGGGATTCCCCTGCCCAAGATTTAAAATATCAAATTGAATGCATTGAAACTTGTATCATTAGGAATTACTCTCAAAAGATTTAAAGAAAACTTAAACTTCCTGTGTCATTGTTTTTGTCTCATCAAATTGTTTTAGTACTTTTTTTTATTTCTGCATTGACCTGAAGTCTTATAAATGCTCATGAGAACAAGGAACATATGGAGTGGTCCTTTATTTATATTTTCTCTGTGTGTGTATTCTGCAGGTGGAAGCACCGGCACTTCTCCCACCACCTCCAGCACAGGAACTCCCTCGCCTTCTGGCGCGGCTCACCTCCTCTCTCCCTCCTGCTCCCCACCCACCTTCCACCTCGCCCCCAACACCTTCAATGTGGGCTGCAGGGAGAGTCAGCTCTGTAACCTGGGCCTGTCTGAGTACCCAGCCTGTGCCCGCAGCAACATGGCCGCCCTGCAGGGCTACGGTGGCCTGGCTGACAGCTCTTACGGACGTCTCCAGGCTGCAGGGGGCGCTGTAGCCTCCGCTCAGCCCTCTGAATCCTTCCTGCCGCAGAGGACTTCCTCTTTGATTGCTGCTGGCATGCAGGGCGGTGCGCACCCCTCCCTGACTGGCGGTGGGAGCAGTGGGAGCGCTGGAGGGAAGATGGATGCCTACAGCGGTCAGCTTGGCTCCTTTCCGGCGTCGCAGCTTCAGTATGTGATGCAGGCGGGAGGAGGCTCCAACTCTGGCTCCTCCTCCTCCGGATCCTCCCCTTCCTCTGCCCACATGTTCAGCGGGAGCCACCACCACGTGCAGCAGGGCTCCTACAACGCTTTCTCCCTGCACAACCCTTACAACCTGTACGGATACAACTTCCCCACCTCCCCCCGCCTGGCCGCCAGCCCCGAGAAGCCTCAGGGAGGTCTGCTGTGCTCCTCGACTCCTGCCGGGGCCTTCGCTGAGCGTCAGTACCTGTCCAACGGAGGCATGGACACTATGCACATGATCGGCAACTCCTCTGGCGGCCAGCAGGGCAGCAGCTCCTGTGATGGACGTCAGTATGGCTCATCCTCTCAGATGTCCATGCACATGGTGTGAGGTAGAAAACGGGCATCGAACCTCACAGTCCTCTAAAGTCTTTCAGCTGAAAAGCAAATCTACAAAGCAGGTTTAGTGTTTTTACCAGAAGTGTTGATGAACTGAGGTGCAAAACAAGCCTTTCAGAAAAGGAAATCATCTCATGTTTTTTTGTTTTTTAAAGACACTCCACCACTTACAAAGCCTTATACAGGGAGTCAAAACTATTATTTAAGTATCTTTGTATGACTAAAACGAAACATTGTGACGGTAACTTCACTCTCTTAAAGTCTCCGACAGGAGATAGACAACAAACTCAAACTGTAACTGTGAGTCATAGGAGGTGGGATTATCAGTTTTGAATATGGTGCAATATACAACACTCATTTCAAGAGACTCATTCTTGTTTTTGTTTTTAAACTCAAACTGATCGGGACATGATGAAACCAAAGAATCTTCACTGTGATCCAGAAGTCCGGACTCCACACAGAACTTGTGCCTTATCGTTTTACAAGTGTCAGAGGGTCAACAGTGTGCTGATACGGTCTGAAGCTGTGGCTGGAAAGAAAGGAACAACATGGACAAGATCATAGCTCCACAAACACCCAGGAGAAGGAGTTTCACAAAGATGTGGTTTCACTTAATGTGCCAAACAGGGTTAAATACAAGTGAACACGACTTCCTCCACCCCGTTATCCTCACAGACTGGACAAGCTTCCCTATTTTAGAGTGGATTAAGTTTTTTAGGCATATATATAAAGATGGCGAATGCAATCAATAACATAAGCTTAAAAGTTGTTGTGTGAAAAGTTATTAAAGAAGCAATAGCAAAGCAAAGTAAATAAAGTATGTTTTGGTGTGTTGTAGAGGTTGTGTATTTAAGTGCTGAGCAGTATATCAATTTTACAGCCAATCTGGTATAAAAAATGTGTGAAAAAAAGGGAAATGGAAAACTTTTTGAGACATTTTGAAAAAATGTAAATACAGGTGCCAAGCACGTAAAAAAAAGCTCAATAAAGGTTTTAATTCATGTACGAGGTTTTGTTTCTTCCTCTTGTCAATCAGATGGTGTTCAAAATGAATTGGATGTATAAGACGACTTCATGCAAGAGTTGTTGGCCCCATGACATCAAGACAGATGTTGAATTTCTTCATCACATATGTCCTGCATATATTGCACCTTAATGCCTGGATTTAACCTTTAACATCTTCAAAAGGTGTTTTTTAAAATGTTTTTTAAAATCATTTGATGTTCTTATTAACAACTAAAACCTTCATGATTCACCCTGTCCTCGGGTTTTCTTCTTATTTTTAACAACAGGAATCACTTTAAAGAGTTTTAACCTCACCATCACTTAAAATTGTACAAGCTTCCCTGGGTGCAGGATGTATAATCTAGCTGGAAATTAACCTCTCTTGCTCGCTCACCCTTGTGATTTTTCTGCCATTTACCCTGGAGTTTAACTTCCCATCATTTCTTTCCTGTAAGATCAAAATCTGTCCGTTCACTATAGACTCGTCATGATACGTTTGTGGAATAATTACCATATTGGAAATATGTCAGTCCTGTCTTAGGAGACAGAAAGTCAAAGAAGCCACATACTCTCAAAACAAATACGTCTGATGAGAAGTTCAGAGAGGCAGAGCAGCTCGTTGACAGGTACATTTTCTCTGTGATTCATGGAGCGAGCAGCAACGTTAGCCTGATGCATCACAAGCAGAAACAAGCAGAAAAATAAAAAATGAAACAGAAATGGAAAAAAACAGACTTCATGGATTTTATTGAGCCTAAGAGTGACATCGTTTGCAATATGGCATCCACCATTGTTTGACTTCAAAACTCCTCTTCAGAAGCCAAAAGATGACATCACTGAGATGATTTATCTGTGATATCTAACAGCCATATTAACCAAACAACATCCACAGCAAGTTCCTTTTTCTCCCCTCTAACTTAAAGGAAACAGGAGCCACTCATAAAAACGAAATTTGAGCAAATTAGTAAACAAATATAATTAAAGTGTTTACTGGAGAAACTCAACAAAGTGATTGTTTAAACATGTGCAGGGTTGCAGCTATTTCCTTATTTACCAAATGACAAAGAAAGTGTTATTTGAAACACTCGAAAACAGTACGAAATCGATGACTCAGCAGCCACACTCAGTCAAAAGCTTCAGGCTACAATAACAATAAATGAGCAGATTATTAATCACACAAGAGAGTGTCTCTGCTTATAAAACACACATCTGCTCTGCACCACATCACAGGCCTGGGCTTCAAACGCTGACGCAATGCATCGATCATAAACCAAACTGGGGGAAAAAGACCCAAAAAAACACAAATGTTCTCCCTGCTGGTTCTGTTTATTAAGAAAAAGAAGAATAAAGCTCATGTGCCAACTGCACTCAGCTGCCCTGTTGGTGTATTTGACGCACATAAAAATGGCACCTGCTTAACGACGACAAGAAATCATCCTTTAATCATTTCAACCTCCAGGAAAAGAAAGGGGAAACATGCAGCATTCGGGTTCATTACTGCTCCAGATTTGTGGTTCCCCTTCTTTTTCCACAGGCTCAGGCTCCGGGGATTTAGCCGGGGGCCAATCAGCGTCCATTACACGCATGTCTTTCTGAACGGCTCTCCCCAATCACTTCCTATCATGTGTACAGCCCCGGCCATGAAATATCATATCTGAACCATCATCAGAAAATGAAGGCCTCCGTATTGGAAACACCTGTTTTTCCAAGCATGACTTCAAATAATGAGCACAGTGATGTACTTGAGAGAAGCGCATGATTTCACAATTTGGCTTTGCTCCATCTATCTGGACATTATTTCCAATAATTATTCACATTATTTGTCTGATATACGCGCCCCTCTCTCCTTCCAGCAGCATTCAGAATCACCCTGACCCCCATACTTCACTGCAAATTTACCTCGGGGTCTGTGGAATTAGGAGACGTATTTGGGATTTGTAAAGAGGAGCAGCATGACATAATGCACAGCATGTCTGTTTGTATATCAAAAACTATCCCTCAGGTTCTTAAGTGGAAAAAATGGACAAGCTGGAGCAAACCTCTTTGCTTTTCATCATGGCGTTGTGAAAATAAATGTGCAAAATAAATCCACTGATCGATGCTGCATTCACATCGTTTTAGTCAATCTGATAATGTTAAACCAACTGTGGTGTTAGGGATGACCCGAGACTGTTAAACAAAGCCAGGCGTACTCCACACGATTTCATCCTGACGTTTGATTTAAGCCTGATCGTGTATGGTTACTTTTTCAGTAAATATTCAGGCCCTGACGGCCGATCAGCTGCTCAGCGGCTGACCGGTCAGATGATTTTCTGGCATGTTTGAAATTTTAGTCACATAATAGGACTGCACACACTTACACATGGAGAGCAGAGCCAAGAGCCGATTCCCAGACTTTAGGACTTTTTTTCTTCCTGATTGTGCCTTCACAAACTGACAGATAGAGTCCAAAATCACCGTGGAAACAGCAGGCATGTCTGTTTATTTTGTTTTCCCCTCAAAACTGCTGGCAGGAAATATCTGAGGACCTCCAGCTGACAGAGAATATTTATATGATTTAGCATCTAATCTTGTGTTTATTGGTGATGCAGATTGTTTGTGTGTGCGAGAGAGAGAGACATTTCAGCATGTGTGTGTATTTGGAGTCAGGCACATGAGACAACCTAAATACACAGTATATCTTTTGACAATTGTGAATCTTCCATCACAATTTAACTCAGTGTACAGTGTGACTCTCGTGCCCAACAATCACTTTGCTCAGTGGGAGCATCTTGAGCTTTGTGTGCCGTAAACGATTCAGTAGTACAGTGTGAGTTTGCGTTGCACCAGACATTTTACCTATGTACATTTTTTAGAATAAACATTTCTATTCAATTATTTAAAAGGCATTAAGTGAAGAAAATACAATCATGAGGTTGTTGAGCTCATGAGGGCTCCATTTTGCAAATGTTTGGCCCAGATTCATAAACTGTGCACATGGATTTGCATTGAAAATCTGTGCAAACCTCATCTTTGCAGAATAATCTGAAGTCAAAACTTCCCGTGAGAATTTAATTGGTGCTATACTAAAAAAAGAGTCTGACTGATTGACTGATAACACGTTATCTCAAGACACAAAAACAGCAGCTCTTGACTTTTCTCTAGATAAAAGAAAGTGTGACCCTACGCCAATGTTTTGTATGTATGTAGATGGAACTTTGTCTGCTATCAAAATAAAATAAATTATAGGACAGAAATTTTGCATTTTGTATTGTTTCCTTTTATTATTATCATAATAATTCCAACATGATCACCCTCAAATCAAACGCATGATCGTGAAGGCTTACAGAAACTTGAAGTATATTATACCAGTTTTCATAGAAATGTATTTCCAATACTTTCACAATACCATTATTATTTAAAAGTCTATAAATTACATAGTTAGAGGACGTTTATGCAGCTGGGTTTCCAGAGGGTTTAACAAAAGGAAGATATCAACATGTGCTGAAGGTGTTACCTGTCTGCTGTTGGCCTACACACTTGACTTACATCCTTATAAATTTAGTCAAAGAGGATTGATTGATTGATTGATTGATTAATGGCAGAGTGGGCCCAACTTCATCTCAAACATAAAACTAGAGCATTATACATCCAGAAGTGAGTTTTTAACAACAGAGTTGAGAGAGATCTGGCGCCCAATCTGCTGCTTTGAGCCCATTTTGAATGACAGCACAGTAACTGCAGGGTATCCCATAATCCCCCCCTGTCACAGACATTGATCTTTCCTTCAGAACACATTTCAAGACATTTTAATAGACAGAATCGCTTTCTGTGGAGCTCAACGGGACGCAAATCAGATCCAGAGGGGGCAGTGACCAAATGCAAAAAGGGGGAAGGAACTTTAATTTCTTGGACATAAACGTCTGCTTTTGATAATTCACATTTTTAGATCACTCCAATCAGAAATTCCTGGTTAGCTGTTGCCCTCTTGTGTTTATCCCTCTCCTGTACTCGGGATTCCTTGGCCTGACTCATCTTCACAGTAAATTACAGCCAACAGCAGACGGAGACCCACTTTTCTGAGGTGTTACAATGCGCCTGACACGTGTATTGAAGCACTAAATCACTGCTGTTTCACTAAAGGGCTTTCACATACCTTCAGCCGCCGGGTTTTTTTTTTTTTTTTGTCCTCGGAAGAACATCTTGAAACTATTTTAGGATTGATAAAGTCATGATACAGATGTCAGGCTTAAAAAAGGAAAAACATAGAGCCTCTGGTGATGTGGCCAATGTTTTTACAGTCACGGAGGAACAGGTCTCTGAAGGCAGGTTGTGTAATATCTAAAGCTATGATGACTCAGAAAGTGGAGATGAACATGTACTGCTACAGATGTGATGACTCTACCTGATAAGGCTTAACATGAACTATATGAAACACTCGACACAGTTCTGACATCAGTATTATTACTGATAAAAGGTGGGGAAACCTAAACATATAATTAATCACAAGGTGGGAATATTCAACATAAAACAGTTTACATTTGGAAAGGGAGTCTTTAACAGATGCTGTCTGCTGATTCTTAGAGATGAGGATTCAAACTCCCTTTTGTGATCCCAACAGACCTTTTGTTTATCACAACTTCAGCTCTATATAATGTAGTAAAAATATTGTTTTCCTGGGAGCGCCTGAGCTCCCATGTCTTGAAGGTTCCTCAGGATTATTGGTGAGGGCGGCCTGCTGCTATGGACTCCCCCCCTCCATCTTCTGTGTCAGTGTGTTAGAAGCCCAGGAGGCCTGGGCCCAACCTTCAGCGAGGTGATCTGGCACTACTACCACCCAAAGTCCCTGACGCCCAGCCTCAACCATCGGACTGTGTCGTCCCCTACACAACTGCTGTCATCATTCATGCACGGCCTGCTCAGACCTCTAACTCAGAGTCAAGGAAGACATTTGTAATGAATTGGCGCTTTACAAATATTGATTGATTGATTGATTGATAATAAAGTTGAACAGTGTTTGGACCTGGTTTGGTGTTAAATGAAAAGTCTCTAGCCTCAGG